TTTGGATGCTTCATCTTGAAGTAGCCAGGACATGATCTTCAGAATTAGTGAGAAGTTTTGAACTTGCTCCGAGCAGTGGGCTGAACTTGAGTAGGAATCTCTAGTTCCCTTAGTGCGTTATCATGGGTTCAAGATTTTGCCCAGATAATGTGGATATACCAGACAGGCAAGCCAAACACCTGCAGATATCCCTAGCCCTGTGCTTCTGTGGAGACTGGTATCCAGCAATATGGACAGAGTGCAAGAGTCATAGCGTGGGTTCAGTGTGCTTGTACCTGTTGCCCTGCTACGATGTTGAAACAACCCCTGAGAAGGTGGCGTTGCCTTCTCCTCCAAATGAGGCACACCTGAGCTGTGTGCTGTGCCCAAAATGTGTAGCTTCATGAAGATTTTGACAGAGGAGGCAGAGCTCTCTATTTAAAGAGGAGAACTTACCCTTTCTCTTTGCTTAATGTTTAACCTTTAAATATTATAGAAAAGAAGTAAGAAAAGCTCTTCAAATAAACAGCACAGAAGGAAACTTCCAAACCTGATGAAACAGACTGGGCAGAAGAGCCATGTGCCAAGGGGCTAATACTATACTGAAATCCTGAGTGTATACAAACTATAAAATATATTAATCCATTGAAATTTTTCTCTAGTCTCCTATTAGGAGGCAAAAGAGTTGTTTGATTAAACATTTCAGATATTTAAAATAGCAACTGAATAAAAAATGTTGGAAATTTTGTGTTAAAATTATACTGTGTAGTCAAAATATCTTGTTACAGTTACAAAACCTACAACTTATCATGAAGAAAAGCAAAGCGTTGTTATTCCACTTGAGCTTAGAATACATTTTAGTTGTTTTGCAGTAACTGCAAACATAATTAGAAACATGTGTTAGCTACATCATTTCTCCAAAATGCAGAGACTGTAGGCGCTGCTGAAATTGAGTATTTCCTAAGAAGACTCAAGTGCTTCACTTTAATAATGATTGTAAGTAATTGATGTTAAGTGGTAATTTCTGGTGGTGACTTTATCTTCTGTGCTTGTTTTGTGTGCTTTTTTATCAAAAACCTGTGAAGAATTAGAACAATATTCAGATTCCATAATCTATTTATGTTTAATATTTGGCTGAATTTATTAATTTCTGGAGAGTCCCAAAAGAACTTTAAGAGCCTTGAAATTTGGAATGGGAAATGTGCCTAGAGTTCTTATTTATATCATATTCCAGTTAGAGAAAACTTGTTTTGGAATTTCAGATGAGTTCCTTGCTGCATTGTTTTGAGCTGACTGTCAGAAAGAGTTGAATGTAATCTGATAAAATGGAGAATGCCCACTGCACTTAATGCAGAGTGAGGAGGTGTTGATCAAGTTAAGGCCTGATTTCACTAGTTTTGATCACATGGATGAGTACCTCATTTATCAGGTGGTAAATTAAACCCTTCTGTGGGTTTAATTCCCGTTCCTATTCTGACATATTCTCTTTCTTACAAACATCTCTATCCACCTTCCAAGCTTGGAGAAACTACTGTGGTCTTAGATCCAGGGGCTTGTGTGCCCAAAGTCAAGCTGGAAGGATATAAAAGAGGTCCTTCAGATAGTGTATAACCTCCCATAGTGCTCACTTTTCTTGGAATTTTCATCAGGAGGTTTTCAAGACAGGTCTGATGGGGAACTGTTGCTAGCAAGTGAATATGGACTTGTAGAGAGCAACGTTTTTCAGGTGTACAGAACAACTATTTGAGCATAAGTATGTTCTGTTTTTCTCATGGACTCCTATATTTGAATGAGTCCTGCTCAGAGACAGAATATCTACCTTTTCCTGCTAGAAAAATATTAAGGATATATACTTCCCTTTCAACTTTTCTGCAAAATTTTCCTCCACATTTTTTGTAATAGGACATAATTGGCCAGCACTTTGGGACTTTTCACTGACTGAAGGAAAAAAAATTGCTTTGGAACTTGGGTTTGGGTTTGGTTTTGCTTTGTTATATTTTGTTTTGTTTTCTTTTTCTGGTAGAAAAGCCAGACTTCAAATCACGTAGCAATATAAAAAATTGTAACAAAGTTAGAAAATCACAAGGGCAATTTAAGGGTAACTTAATATGGTAAAATAAACATAACAGAAATTTTACATTAAAAGAAAAAGATTCAAGTAAATCCAGTAATAAGACACATAATTCCATGTAATTGCATTTATGGGAGTACGGGGAAATGGAAAGCAGAAAGTTGCCAGGCAACCATTTGTTAAAAGACAAATCTTAATCCAACTTTCCAGTAATTCTGCATTTAGATAAGGAAAAATTATTCTGGTTTATCCAGATGATCTATCAATGTTGAGTGTGTTTGAAAAGGTATGGGCTCCCAGTACATTATAAAATGAGAAAGAAAATCTGAGAAAAGCAATATACAGTTAAGTACAACTGACATGGAATGGGACTGGAAGACTCAACAAGTCAAGAATATTTATCCAACTATATTCCAGACTCCAGATCTGAGATCACCAGTATAATAAAATTACCACAGTTCTTACAAGGGCATTATGGTTAACACAGGACTGAAAAAAAGTCCTCCTCAGTTGTCATTTAGAAGCCCTTTTTTTCTCACTTCTTCATCTTCTCACTCGCTCTTTTACTTTTCAGTGTAGCAATGTAAATAGTTATGCTGAGGAGACCTACATTTCACCTATCCCAGCAATGTGAGAGCTTCTGAACAATAAAATGAACTGTGAGTGCATAAATACTGTTCGTTATTTTATCATTAATGTGGGAGAGGCCATCTTGAAAGAATTATATATCTTTATATCAGGGGCATCATCTCTTGTCTGGTTTTATCATCACAATTAATACAATTTTTCTGGAGTGTAATTACATTTGCTCCCTTCTTCCACAAAATATTTCTTCTCCTCAAACAGTTGCCTCTTTCCCTTGTGCCTTCACAAGAATCTTGGAGAAAACAGTATACCAGACTTTAATAACAAATCCTGGGACCAGGGTAGCCCAGTGCTGTCTCTTTGACAGCTCTCCCAAAACCACTGTGGTAATGGGAACTACCTGGTGATGAAACTTTCCAGGAAGTCTCACTGCCTTTGACATACTGGTATGCCATCCATGCAGCCTGTCCTGTGTAGTGCTCAATGTACAAGTCTTCACACTGCATAGGACCAACCTCCTTGAAAGAGAGCTCTTAGCTCTGAGCTGAACTGAGAAATTAGGCGTGGAATCTGTAAGTTTATGGACATAAAGAAGAAAACAGCCTCCAGGACAAGCAAGTTTATTTCTGTGGAAGCATTGTCAAACATGGTGTAGATCTGCAGTGAGAACCTAAGCAGTACAAAAACCTGTAATTCACAGGTACAGATCAGAGGAGTGTGGAGAAAGCGCATTAGTGAGGTACCACACAACTATATCTATGTATGAGGCTAAGAAATAAATGGGTTGAGAAAGGGAAATATTTTCTTTCTCACAGAAGACCTAGATAGTATTTTGAACTTAAGTGAACAGTATCTTTGATCATACAGAATGCCAAAATAAATATTTGAGAGCTGCTTATCTTCAATCTCATGCAAACAAATGAAAGGCAAACCTTCTATTCTGGGGGTCTCAGGGAGCAAAGATTGTCTTTGCTACCATGAAATATTTTGAAACAGATCTTAATAAATAAAAAAAACTTGAACAATTATTAAGAAAATATATGCTTCCTTTGACACATTGACTTGTATTCTGCTTCTTGGCCATTAGTTCTAAATGGATTCCTCTGAATATTCTGAAGGTTGAATTATAACTGCTGGGATTTTCTTGGTGCTGTAGTAATTTCACTTCTTATTTCAGGAGATCTACATAATCACATTTCTTGGCAGGGTCCCATAGAAATTGCAGGTTTGACTTGCTGCCCCACAAGGCGAGCCATGGACTTTGATAGAGGTGGATCAGCTTACATTTTTAATTGGATTTAAACTGGTTCTCCTTATTTGTGACCAAAGGAGGGGAAGACAGGTTTTCTAAAGCAATATCAGAAAGGTTTTTTAAAGCACTATCACCCAGGAATAGTGTGGCCAGCAGGACCAGGGCAATGATTGTCCTGCTGCACTCTGCGCTGGTGAGGACACACCTCAAATCCCATGCTCAGTTTTGAGCCCCTCACTACAAGAAGGACATTGAGGGGCTGGAGAGAGTCCAGAGACTCTATTAGGAACCAGAGAAGGGCAACAGAGCTGGGGAAGGGTCTGGAGCACAAGTCTGATGAGGAACAGCTGAGGGAGCTGGGGGTGTTCAGCCTGAAGAAAAGGGGGCTCAGAGCAGAACTTACTGCTCTCTAGAGCTACCTGAAAGGAGGTGTAGCCATGAGATCAGTGTCTTCTGCCAGTGGCCTCAAGTTGCACCAGGGGGAGTTTAGATTGGATTCCATTTGGAAACATTTCTTCACTGAAAGCCTTGTCAAGTATTGGAAAGACTGCTCAAGGAAGAGTTTGAGTCACTATCTCTGGAGGTATTTAAAAGACCTGTTTGATCTTGGTGTTTGCTGAAGATCTGCACAGGTAATGTCTTCTGTTGCCTGGGGATAATCCAGTTTTAGCCTAGCTCCTACATTTTTTACAACCCTATTGCCTGCAGAGACACTTTAAGCCTCAGTTTTGCTTGCGTGGGCCAGTGAGTTTATACCAAAACTGAACCAGTTAAGCAATGAAAAGAGGTTACTTAGAGCCTGAGTTCAAAGTCAAAACAGAATTATCATGAAATATTAATACAGACAGAAAGTCAGAGAAGAAATGGTACAGTGCAGGTAGCACTGTAGTTGTGATAGAAACACTCTTTATGTTATTACATTTATGCCTTGAATTTTTATGAAAATAAGCTCTTTTTTTTGTCTGTTTATTTGATTTGGTGGTGTATTTAATTTGTTATGTTACCAAAGTCTGTATAAACTGAAAGGCTGCCAATTACAGTTATAAAAAGTTGCAGCAGAATGAAAGTATTAGTGCTTAGGAGATTTCATAACTGTCTGTTTGCCTTCCATAGCTATTTTCTGCTGGAAAAATCACAGACACCAGAGTAGCTGAGCTGAAGGAACAGTACACCCTGCTGCATGAGGCTGTGTTAAGGTATAATATTCCTTTTCAGACTTTCAGTAGCCAAAGCATTATATTTTTAAAGTACTTTCTGCTCATGCTGAAGCCTGATTATCATTTAAGGCTTTCTTACAGTTATAGTTCATAAACAGGAAGCCAGAACACAAGGTTGAAAACCACTGTTATTTAATAGGAACTTCCAAGTTAATTTGGGATACTTAATTACTTGTTTGAAACACATCTTTGTTTCTAATACAAACATAATAATATTGAGAATGGGTGTACAGACAATTTGCAAGTTTAAAATAAATATGTATTTGACAATCCTATAGCCAGAATTGTAATACATGAAAAGACTGACCTACTGAGCTGACATCGTAGAAAGCAACTGAAGAAGCTAAAGGCTCATTTCTAAGAAGGAAAATTAAACTGTCACTCCTAAATAGGTGTGAATTTTACCCTCTGAGAATACTGACAGTCATGTTAGACAGGACTGCCAATAGATTTTGATCAGAAGCCTAAGCTTTGAAGTGAAATGAAATTTGGAAATAAGGGTATTAGTTGTGAGCTTGCCCTGCACCAGTCCTTGCTGGAGGAGAGAGCAGAGGTCATGCTCATAGCCTGACGCCAGGCTTGGGCAGGGCATGTGTGAGTGGAAGGAGAGAGACAGAGGGACAAAAGGGAACACAATACTACAGCTGTACCAGGTGAACAGTGTGTCCCAGAACACAGCAGTCCTACTAAAAATACTGCAATATCACATTAGTATTTCTTAATAATAATTTTATACTACTTACAGTATACTTGTAATTATCAGTAAAATCAGCATCATTATATTCCTGTCACATTCTTGTAATGCATACCATAGTATCCACTGTATTAGCAATATTTTTTATCCCACTTTCACTGGCAGTCCAAATTAAAAACGTTATGGCAATTCTGCCATTAAACTAAAGCCTAATTTCAGCATTCTAAAACTAATTCGGGTTATACTTGCTTATTTGGATGGTGCTGGGATTTGCTGTGCCTCCTGGCAGTCTGAATAGCAACAAGTGCAAAGTTATGTAAAGTAATTTGAAAAAGGGTTCTCAAAATACTAAAATAACAGTTTTTCTTGAGGATAGCTGAGCCTTCTGGTTTTGTCTTAATAAAATGGGGAGTTGGGATATGGTTCTGACTCTGTGAAACATCATCTGACTTTATTTCAGATTACTGAGACAGATAGCAAATCTTTCTGAGAAGCAAAGTTAAAAACAGCACTACTAAACCAGTTCAGATTCCTAGAAAATACAAGAAGATTTTTCTAACTGCTCATATCTAAACATATTTTGTGGTGTTTGGATTAATTGATAGAGACAGTGTCTACCACACCGGTGTTCACTGAGCTGAATCAGAAACCAGTAGCTGCTAATTAGTTGATTTTCAGCCAGTGTTAGTTTGAAAACAGTCTTTCATTGGAAAAATACAAACATATTCCTACATGTTTTATGTATTTATACAGTATTCTTTTATATGGGACGTTCATTCATGTAAAGGCAATCCCTTTGTGTGTATAGCAAATGGAATAGGGCCTGAGTGTAAACAGGACTCAGCTGTCCTTCCTGTCACACTTAATACTACCCTTAAAAGAATGAAAGCATGAAAATGTTAGATGGTAGATTATATCTCTCATTCTTTCCATCATTCTTACAGGAGTATGAAATGGCCGTGCTTTTGTAAGAAATTGGATCAGGCATCTTGATGTCCCATTCTGTATTAGAAGTAGTTATGTGTCACGGCAGAACATCAATGTGTGAGCAAGCACTGATTCTCACAAATAAATTTCTCCTACTGCTAAAAGGAAGCAATGGAAATCAATTACCAAAAATCTATCATGATTTCCAGTATACTTTAAGGACATCAAAACTGGGATTCAGGCATCAAAATTAGGATTCAATTGTCCATATTTTAACATCAGTAGACAACCTCATCTGAACAAGGTACCAACGATCCCTTAACACTCTATAGAAAGAAATGGGGACCACACACTTCCTCCTTATTCAGACATCTACTATGGTCTGGTTTTCTCCACCAGCTGTAAGGACTGTCCTGGTGGTAAGTGCAGTATGTGTGTGTGGATCAAGAACTTATTTTTTCACATATTACAGGTGAATTCAATCCCTTTCCTAATTAATGCCCATCTGTTCTAGTGTTGTTGCAATGCCATGCTAAGACAAATGACACAGGATGAGGTTTTCAAGCTCTATGTGTTTTTTTCCTTCCTTTATTAGCATATAAAAATCTCAAGGAGAAAGCCTTATACATCTTAAGCAGCACAGTTCCCTGTGACAGCTGTACCAAACTATTGCAACTGATCTCTCTGATATACAATACAAATTTGTCTCATATCTTGAACTCAATTACTCTGTGTGCAGGTAGTTTCCAAGGCCGTTGCCAATGTACACAGAGCTATAAGTGTATAGTGCAGTCCTCTGTTTAGTGGCAAATTTATTTCTTGCTTTCAGTTTGGCACAATTTGGCATTTCTAAAAGCTGAAGTTTGTCACCTGGCAGATAACATCTTTCATACTTTTCTTCAAAGTCTTAAGTGGTTTTGAATTTATGATTGCTGAGAATAGGCTGTCATCCCATTGTGGTACTGTCTCACCCATCCACTTTGTAGTAAAATATTGAAGTATCTAATCTTGTATTTGGCCCCTGAAAACCTTTTTAGTCACTCAGTTATGTGGCTTAGTTGTAGATTTTACTTATATTATCTCAATTTAGGAACCTAGTATGAGTATTCTGGTAACCTGAACAGAAAGATACTCAGATAATAATGAAGATTCATTAGAAGACTGGGAATCTTATTTTCTTAAGCCTCTGCTAAATTGCTAATTATTTCACAAATTCAAAAGCTGCCACATCAGACTGCACAAACTTACTTTTGCAGTCATGAGACTCTGTATGAATACACTGTGTAGATGTGCAGTTATTTCTTCATTGTCTTCAATTAAATTTAAATCAACACATGAAAAAAATACTGATGGCATCTGTAGGGAGCAAAATCTAAATTCAACACTCAGTTCTTGCTTCTGTTTTTCTTTTTTTTATTATCTTGAAAGAATAAATACTCAAAATGTTGTTTTCATTAATTCACTTACATGTTTATGTAACTTTATGTAAAGTGTATATGTTATGAAAGAATTGTGTTTGAAATTGTGTATTACTACAACCAATTATATTTTCTCCCACATCTGCATGCATTCTGTTAGATTTAAAGAAGATTTAAATATCATATAGAACCCAGTGTCAATATGTCTGTTTATTTTTTGCTTAACATATATGTGTAAACACATGAAATTATTTGTTCATTATGAAGGCACACTCTTTTCTGTTGAATTCTGTGGTTTTCTTATTTTCTAGTTTAGAAAAAGGAAGTGCTTATCTGGGGAGAAATGTTGCATGAATCAAAACTTTTGCTGCTATATTATTTCAAATGTGTTTGTGCAGTATTGTCAGTTTTATATTTTGTATTTTTATCATCATTTTACCATCTCAACTCTATTCTTTGGTATTATATGTAATTTTGTTTTCTGTTTAAGCCATAAATGTCAAATTTGAGCCAAAATTTATGCCTAGAGTTTCTCAATATGGGAAAATCTAAGTTCGTTTGTTAAGAAAAAAATTGCCCTGTATTTTTCATTAGTAAAAGGAAAGTGATAGAGTTCTTTATTCTTCCTCATAATTTGTGACTAATTTTAGTAGACCATTATATAACAGTCATAATGTAGTAATATTGAAGAGGCGCACACAATATTTCTGTAGCATAAAACATAGATTTATGTGTAGTGCACATATTGTATATGAATTGTCATACTGTTGTTCCCTTTTAGAGTTTTCCATAATAATCAATGTATTTTACTAACAGCCTTTAGGATGTTTTTCAGCTATCACCACACAAGTTTTTAAGGATATTTTGAATACCAGTCTCCAGACACTGACAGGAGGTAGTTTGTTGTTTCTGTGGAGCTAGTCTGGTGATACAAAGCAGATCATTGATCTACAGTAATTATAATAAGCTTCCACAGATGTCCACAAATGTATTTTTAGCTTTTGTATCATTACATGAGTTATTTCAGGTCTTGGTAGCACTACAATAGTAGCAAGATGTAATTCATCACTGGGGAGATGTCCCACTGTTTATTAAGAATCTAAAGTTGTCATATAGTCCGGACTGGACCTTGTCCTGGTGGATACTTCACTATTATAGGTCTCCACACTGGATCAGGTCTAGCCTTTGGCACTTCTTAGGATAAAATGGATTCCCTGTCTTTTCATTTTTGTCCAGGAAGTGTTAGACAAATAAATTTGACCAAGTAACAGTCTGTCATCTGGTTAAAATTAGATGAGATGAATCTCACTCCAACTGTAGGTATGCAGAAAAACCCCAGAGACCAGATTCCACTGCTCTCATGGCATCATAGGATGATTTGGGCTTGAACAGAATTCAGGAGGTCCAGCCTCCTGCCCAAGGCAGGGTCAACCAGGTCAGGCAAGATTATACAGATCTTAATTCCATCTCATCTTGAAAACCTTCAATTAAATATTATAGGTATGTAAAGAAGTATAAACACAAAGCTTGTGCTTCACATTGACTAGTTCTAAATGAGTCTATTTAATGCAGTTTACAGGAATCTGAGACGCAGCTGTCGCAGGAAGCCGAACGCCTGAGTGCAGAACTGGAACAGCAGTGTGAACTGGAAAAAGCAGAACAGCTCCCTGAAGAAGCTTCCAGTGAAGGTTTCCAAATAAGGCAACAAATTTTCAGCTGCCGAAGCGAATACAGTGCTACTAAAGGAAGAGTGTATGAAAATCGGTTGAAGATAGAATGGTAGGTGAAAGTGGTCAAATGATGCTCACTTTATCATAGATAATGTAAAAAGAGGATAAATAGAATTAAAATCAGTCTCCTTTACATTTTACATGGACACATTTCTTGATGGCTGTTGTTAAATGAACGGCCACAAACTTTTCCCAGTTGCAGCAATGTGTCAGTGATGAATAAATTTACCATGGTCAGATTTGTAGATAATTGTAAATTTTGAACAGGGTTAGAAGGGGTTCTTTAAAATGCTGTTTAAAATGTACTGCATTGGATGAATAATATTTAGGTAGGGAAAATTAACATGAGTAATTCTAGTCTAGAACACCTTCAATACAAATGTTTAAAGTGTCTCAGAGACCTGTTGGCTTGGATTTTATGGAACAATGTCATAAATAGACCCAATGCTATTTTTAACATCAGGAGCGTGGTGTATTCAAGTTTTTGTATTCAGGTATTCAAAGGGGAAGAAGTACTTGCATATTCTAATGTCAGAAAAATAATAAATTTGCTGTGAAAGGAGTGAAATCTTAACATTTCTATATAAGGGAAACAGTCCAGAATTATCTTAACGTTGTATACATTTCAATTATCTGCATACTTTGTAGTAAAATTACAAGCAGAAGTATTGCAGTTGTAAAAATAATGCACCTAGGCAGATGAAATCAGATTTTTATTTTATGGGGGACTTGCTATTTTTACCCATCTTCAATCCAGCTGTAGTGTTGTAGGTGTGTATACAAACAGGCAATATCAGCATCTCAGCAGTTAAGATTATTATTCTTCAAGGAAATCAGGAACACTGTACATACTGCATGGAGTAGGTTTTTCTGGGATTCTTTCTTCTTTTTTTTTTTTTTGGTTTTTTAGAGCCAAGTATTTGCTCTAAGAAACTAAGAAAACGAAGCAAACTGGGAGTGGGAAAGAGACATGGAAAGCATCTGGAAAAAATCATTTGCTATGAGATAACTAAGAAACATGAAATTTCCTGAAATAATTATTAAATACAGAATTTATTGCAATTTCCAAGCAGTCCAGAAATGAGATCTTCAGAAGTACCATGCTTTTTAACCATTTGTCCTCATATCTTTTGAACATTTTTCTCTGATTTTGCATCAATTTCCAAAAAAATTATGAGGATTTATATGTTTAGGTAATATTTTCCCATTCTCTACTTTCTACCTCCAGTGAAAATGAGTACTGTATTCTATACAAAATGCAGTGTAGGCATTATTTCAATTATCCTGGCACATTTACTGGATTAATTTTTATATGTGAACTGAATACTTTGCAGATTAAAAATCCACTTTTTGGGTCAGTCATGCTGTAAAAAATATTCCTTCCTTGTAGTAAGAAACTTATGTCTTACGTATTGCCCGGGATCGAACCCAGCTGTACAGTCACACCAGAGGTCTGTGAGGTGCATTATCTAATGGAGACCAAAAGTGCAGCCCCAGCCTCTTGTATGTGGGGATTTCATGAGCCAAATACAGTCCTCTGTGTTTGGGAATCCTCAGTTGACCCCTATTCCTTTGAACTTCTGTCTCCTCCAGAACAAACTTCTGACATTGCAACATGCTGGGCAAGGCGTTGCACAGATTAACTACGTAAGAGCTGTCACATCCTTACTTTTTTAACCTGACCCCTACAGCTTCACTTAGTGCCCTGTAGTTCCTGTATGGGATGAGACAATGAGCATCTGATTCACTGCTGCAGAATGGTTTGATAGATCTCTTTTGTACAACCCTTTGCCCCTTTAATTTGTCCATTTTTCAAACTTGGGAGCTACAGATTATTTAATTGCTTCCTGTTTGGAATCTGTTTCATGCCTCGTGGTAGCATTGGGTCTTATGCGTGTTGTGGGTGAGGAGTGAGAAGGATGTGCCTTGAATTTGCTTACTGGGAGAGAAATTCCAGAAATATTCAAGAAATTGTACTGATTTTGAGTTGGACTATTCTAGAACAAACAGGACTAGCACAATATGTGTGAGGAATGGGTGAGTGAATGTAGTGGAGAAATAAGAAGTGGACTATGAAGAAAACCAGATGATTTGTGTGAATACGTGTTTGTAATGAAAGGATGAGTTTGGTGCCTGGGAAAGACAGTGAATGTCTAGAACAGAGTTGTGAGTATCAGTTGATCTAATAGTAACACTGGTGTAAAATGAAGATCCATATGCTTGCTGGTTTTATCCAAAGAGGAAAGCAATGTTTCTGAAATATCTGGTGCATGGACAATGTCACAAAGCGGAGGGAAGCTCATCAAAAGTATTAGAAGTTTGCTGTTAGGTCGCTGTTTAGTTTCCTTAATTTCTCAGGACAAAAAGTCATGGCCCAGCCTCTCTTGGCCCTTGATCTCTCTGGAACACAGTTTCCCTTGTTGTCCAACTGTGTTAATACAGTCCCAGCTGTGCTTGGCACTTACAAATAAATTTCTCTTTGGGAGTTATGACTAATGGCTGTTCAGTCTGAAAACAAACATGTTGTTTATTTACTTTTGTATGTATAGCAGGCAGGGAACATGGAGGGGGAAAGGTTTTGAACAGTTTATCTGTATCTCTTATCTACTGCTTTATCCTTTTTTTAGAATGTCTACTCAGATCTAGTGCTGAGCTGGAAGTGAGAAATCTGATCATGTTTCTCTGGCTCTGCAGATCTCTGTTCTGCTGTTTCTGTAAACCTTTATTTCTCTGAAGCATCCCTCTTATCTCTGATGACTTTATTTCCTGCCTTAATTCACTTTCTCTGGTATCTAAGAGTACTTAGCACCTCTTTTGCACTCAGATTCAAATCTGACAATGGCAAGGTTTCACACTTGAGGAGTCATACAGATATGCCCTAATATTAGTGAAAGTCTCAAGGTCTCCTTATATTGCATACTCTTCTCTCCCTATTTAATTTCCTATTTGCTTGCCTCTGTAAATTTTTTCCAGACCTTTCTGAACAGCTGAAGATGATATTTCATTTCCTGTTTTAATTCTTTATTGTTCCAATGAATAGTCAGCATTCCCAGAATAAATTCAATTGCTTTCTGCATTGAAGTATCGTCAGGTTTTCAGGAATTTTGTGACTTTTTTCATCTTTTCAATAGGTACATGAGGTATTCAGTGTATTTCTTGACACACTTCAGCTGTCAGGGAAGTCACCCTGAGGGTGACTGCATGGATGGGGTGTGTTCCCACCGTAGATATGTTCCTCCTCTTCCAGTTTGTGGCCTGGATATTCTGGGCTCATTGCTGGTGTGTCTGCCTGAGAGCTCAGGGGGAGAACAAGGGGTGGAAGGATTTTACTGAGCTTATAAAGTTTGGGCCACCATCCCAAAGTCAGAGCTGACTCTGGGAGTATTCTTCCTCTCAAAGACTACTTGGCAAGGGTAATAAAGTAAAAGGAAAAAGAGTCATCTCCACTCAGTTCTGCTAAAATTGCATTCAGAGCCATGATATTTCTTCAAATAATTCATAAGAAGCCTCAGTAATAAGAATATAGATCAAAAAATGGAATTAGTGGAACAAGAAGGAAAGAATCAGTGTGATCAGCAAGGATTTGTTCTGGCTTAAGGAGAAATATCACTTTAATGTTTGTGTGAGTCTTGGAGTTCTGATTTATGAGACAAAATAAAGAAGAGCTGGTTTTCTTTATTACACAGTGGTATCAACAGTAGTGTATTGTTGAGAAATAATAAATATTAAATCTAAATTTATCATCTAAATACTTCATTTAAAAGTAAGCAATTAATTTGTACTAAATTTATCTATAACAAGAGTTTGTGAGATTAAAGGTGCCTGATGCTTGGAAACAATTTTATTTGGGAGCTGAGGTCCAGTCTCCAGCTCTTACAGTGATTTATTCAGGTGACAAAATAGCTCCTCACTGAAGTACTCTGCAACTGCATGCAAGTCAGGATTGCAAAACTGATTTTGTCCTTGTAGAAGCATTGCAAATAAGTAAAACTATTTCAACACTTTTAATTATTTCTATATTAGTCACTCAATAATTAGAAAGTGAAAAGTTAAGCTGTTATCCATAGCTTCTCTAGTAAAGAATTACAGGCCACAAGTAAAATAGCACCACAAATGAAGTTATCAGCTGGTCTTGTGACTGCATTTTCTGGTACTTACAAATTAATTACAGCTCATAGCCTTACAGGAAGCTCGTGCTGGCAGCTTGTCAGCTGTGATAACTTCTACCTGTGGTCACTGGATTGTAGCTGTGAGGTGCCCAACACTGTCTGTGGATTTGCAAGCAATCCCAGCTCTGGGAGGCAGCAGCTGAAGGAGTTCGCTTTCTTCCATGATGGGACTTCTAATGCTAAGAGTGTTGTGGTTATTTTGTGAGCTGAGGAAGTGAAATGGACTTCTGTTGACAACTATCACTACATTTCTTAATTTCTCAGTCTTAGTTTTTTATTTCTGTGTCAGCTTGCAGCTGTAAATGTCTCTCAGGGAAAAATCTGGAATGTATTTTTATTAATGACCCAGATTTCCAACTGTCTTTTTTAACTCATTACAACTGCACCTCTGACAGCTTTTCATGTACAGTACTGTTATCAAGCTTCATGAAAATAAGAGTAAGGTTAGAAACATTTGCACACATTAATGCTTAAATTTAAGAGTTTTATTTTCTTTCCATTGTGTGTATTGTTAGAGGTATAACAATGGTAATGATAAAATCCACATGATGTTGAAAAATCCATCCATCGGGGAAGGGCTATAAAATTATGGGAAAATTAAATGCCTAACGCCAATTGCAGCTGTTTTGCTTGTTGTCCTTTATGTCTAAGTAAAACAGTCATGAGGTTGATATCCATATAACACAGATAAAAAGATTCAAATGCTAAATGGAAAAAACAGAATTTTTCTGCCTATCTTACCTTAAGCTTCTATGTTCATCTGTTGAAACAGAGACTAAAATTCTTTGAAGAATCTTATTTGATTTCTAATTGTGTGTTAATCATCCTGCCTTCCCTTTAGAGTCTACAGAGAGATATATGTTATCTGCAACTGGTAATTTATGTCATCCTAACACAGGCACCTGGAATGTGAGGTGACCTGCCCTTTGGTGGTCCCAGTTTTCATCCCTGACAGTAAGGATGCTAGCATAGGGCTGCCTGATTTCTGGCTATGGGCAGCTGGATCAAACTCATTGCTCAAAAGGGAGAGATTTAACTTATTTCTTTTTACCCATTTTTTCTTTTCACACTTCCACTGGTTTTTGTGTGGAAGTCTGGTTGGTCTGCCAGCTATTTAGGTAACTTGGCCCTTGTCATTCACTGTTGCCTTTGTTTATGTCACAGAAAATGAAGTGTTCAAATCATTTTACTTTTGCTGGATGGAAAAGTCTTTGTTGTGAAACTGGAATGGTTCCACAGGAATCTGTCCTCATGAGTGAGGAATGTGACAAAAGAAAACAGTGTTAGCTTTGCTCTCCCTCCTGATCTTTGGTATTGCTCTTTTGATTGTCCAGCGTGATATGAAAGAGGGCACAGCACAGACTAACAACAAGCCCTGCAGTACCTCTTTAATCATTTTGCACAGGACTTATTTAATAATATTTTGTGGCAATCAAACAGTTTTGGATATTTGTGCAAAGTGGGCATTATTATCCTTAGTGTGATTATGCCAGTCCCAAGGAGTTCAATTAGAAGTACTGCCAAAATGGGTTTGGAATATGATTTTGGAATTTTTGTATATTTTTAAAATTAATTTTATCAGTTTTGGAGGAAGACTGATTGATTTAAATTCAGCACTTTCCTTTAAAAGATTGTGTTTTGCAAACTTGTTCACTCTGTGAGTTCAAATGCTGGCATTCAAATTAGTTTTTAGTCTTTACCAGTCCCTGTAGAAGGTTACTTGTAGTCTGCCCATACAAATATCATACATGCTGTATATCAACGACATCTACTCTGTGTCTGTTTTCTTTTTGCTCTTCATCTGAGCCAGAGCTTCTTATTCATGGGAGAGATGTTGTTTTGTTTTGTTCTGTTTATATTGCCACACCACCAACCCAGTTCTCTTTTTTCACTATTTCCTTTCCTTAACTAGAAATATGTTTCCTGAGACTTCCAGGTATAAGCTTCACTCCTTTTGTTGGAGGACTAAAATTGAAGAAAGAGTTTATTGAGAGAGTGGGAGTGCTGGCATGGAGGAGGGAATCTTAAATCAGCACTTCTAAAGAGTTGAGCATAAGGTTCTAGGGATGGTTCTCCATGAGGCTGGCTGCTGGGAGACTGATCTCTGATCTCATGACCACACACTTTCTAAAACCTGAACCACCACCACCATACAAAGTCTTGCACTGCTTCTGGAAGGTTTCAGAAGAAAAAAAAAAGAAATAGCAGTCAGCTGCTTCTTTTCTGCATCAACCACATTATGAGGTAACTGTAATAGCTGTTTTGAGCGGGTGGGGATGCCCAGGAGTCCCTTGCCATTGTTATAGCTCCAAGTGACACTGTTTTATGGAAGTTTGTTCCTTTCTCTTAATTCTTCCATAATTTAAAGAGTTATTTATCCTACCAGACTGCCCTGGGTCTCAACAAAAGTTGACCAGCACATCCTCCCACTGGAGTTATAAACATAAATTTAAGCACTGAAGTTGATTCTTTGCTATACCTGGGACAGAGAAGTCAGTGAAGTTGTTTGGTGGTGGTGGCATACAGACTGCTGTAGCCCATTTACCTACTGTAGGTGCACAACTGTTCTGTGCATGCACTGGGGATGCACCTTCAGAAGGGATAATTTTTTGTCTTTGGCAGTATTTACCACCTGCTACCAAGAAGCTCCCTATTGTAAATCCAACAAGCTTGTTGGCTGAGCTCCCTTTTTATAACCATTCCTTCATCTTTCTCAGGGTAGTTTAGTAACACCCACAAGATCTTAGAGCTTTCCTGTTTTTTCCTTTCTTCTTCTTCACTTCTTTAGCATCTGTCCTGATTGTTGCCTGAACTTAAGTTGCAATTAAGTTTTGGGTATAGGTTAAGATCACTGTGGTTATTCAATTTACTTTTCCACCATACTCCTTTTTCCATACTCCTTTGGCTTAGCCTATAACCCCTGCCACTTTTCAGGATTTTTTTTTTCACAGGATCCAGTCCAGATTTGAGGAGCCTCACTTACAGTTGTCTGAAGAGTAAATGTGTATGTGAAAACATTCATAGGAAGAAGAAGGTTTCTCACTATCAACTGCACTTTCTTTGATATTTGATGTCTTTGTGGCTATTTATTACCCATCTCCTCTTTCCTTTTGCCACATTTCTGTGTTAACATTTTGTTTTCTGAGGTTGGGAGGAACTGTGGGTATAGGATGCCACTAGTAAAAGGCAAGGGTGAGTGAGGCTTGAATGCACCCGTGCAGGAGATAGTCAGTCTAAGAAAAATCAGGTTCAAATTTTTAGATGTGTGCACTGTAGAAAAAGATGTGTACACTTCCATAAATACACACCCTGTCCTTCAGGACCCCCAGTTACCAGTCAGCAAACCTGCTTTAAATCTGAGCACCTTTCATGCTAATTCACCGTGTGTTTTAGTCTAACACAGGATAGGCTTTCATACTTTCTTACCATTTACTATATTACAGTAATGATTATTCTATTACCAATATATTTAGTTTTGCTCTGATTTTTACTGCAGTTTGCGAGAAGAAAAAAAGCTTCTGGAAAATGAATATGAAAAAATGTCAAAAGAAAAGGTAAGTAAAAACATGATAAAAGCAATGTTTTATGTTCTGTCAACTAACATATAAAAAAATCACTGAAAATGTTTTCTCTCTGTGCATTTCTAGATTTTATTTTAAATAGAATACATGGAAAAAAGATTTAAAAATAAATAGATTCTATAGGCTTCATTAGATCATTCAATTTTGATAACTAGGGCAAGCAGTAAATAACTGATTCAGAAAGTATCTGGAATTTTGTTTACCCAAGAAAATGTTTACTATATTCAGCAAATAGATACTGCATGTAAAGGTAGCTGCAGATTTTTCATTCTAGGATGTAAACATGAAAAATACATTTGTAGTCATAAATCCTGAGGAATATATGTGTCTTTGATGGAAATAAAATTCTGTTACTATTGATAGAAGAAACACTCATCTGGTAAAAAAATTACATTTCATATCTTGTCACTAAAAATGTTATCATCATTCAGTATTAGTGCATTAGTGTTATAAGAAGCCTGCAAAATGTAAAAGGGAAAATACAATTAATCTGCTCTTTTACTTCATTTTTAAAGAAAGACGATAAAGTTCAACAGTTGAAAGAAAGTTGTGATGAGCTCAGCAGAGAAGTAATCCAGAGGAAAGCAGAAATTGATTCAATGAAAGAAGCTGTTTCATCCAAAGAAAAGCTGATATTAACAGATGAAGAAGAAATGAAAAGACTTCAGGAGATGCAGACTTATCTAAAAGTAACACAGAATTAATTGTGCCCATGTATCTGTGAGTGGGTGTGCATGTGTGTGTGTACGGGTCCATGTTTTGCCCAGAGGAGCAGCGAATCTTCTGGATGTTGTCATTCCAAATTCATTGTGTCATTACATTAAATATTAGGCCATTTTCCCATAGGCATGAAACATGCTGCTGTGCCATATCCTTATTGCTCCTATTGGAAATACTGAGTCATGGTTTTGATTAAAACGTGGTTCCTATAAAGACATCTTAGTTATGTTGTGTTATTTTAGGTTGTTCAGATTACAGTTAATACAGATTTACTCTGAGAATTAAAAACATACCTGGGTCTATTTGCTTCCATGGTATCAATATCATAATAAGATGTATTAATAATGTTCAAGCATAATTTTTATCTTGAAGATACACTAAAATTGTATCAATGTTTCAGTTTAAAAGTAGGAGCTACAATTCTCTGGGAAAAAGCAAATAAAAAATGTTTCCTACCGATTTTCACAGCAGTTCTAAATTAATATTACTGCTATGAAAACTCATCAGCTTTTGAAGCTATTAATCAAACCTTTCTGTTTTGTTACTAGGCTGAACTAGTTAGGCTCCTTGGTGTTCCAAAGCAACTTGCAAAAGAAACTGAGAAGTTGAATCAGAAAAAAATGTATGTTTTTAATAAATAATTCTATGTACATGAATATATATATGTATGACTTCTTCTTACCCCTTGGTTATAGAAATGATTGAGGATGGTTGTTGATTAAAATTAGGATCAACATTTAAACTAACAATTCCACAGCTGACAGTGTGGCCTGAGCTACAAACCCATTCTCCCTTAGTCCTTCTGTACCAGCTGTGGAGTCACAGCTGCTTTGCTGTAAAGTCCTGACATGAGTTGCAGCCTCTAATACTTCATCAGAGGAAATGCAAGCCAGCCTTTTCTTTCTCTCTCGTGAAGCTGGGGTTCTTCTCCTCTGAAGCATGGCATGTGCTGCTTTCTCTACATGTAAAATCAAATTAGCCCTGTGCAGTTTCAGCCAGGTCACTCACAGATCCCAGCAGTCCCGTTGCCATCCAGATGAATGAAGGGTTTTGTACCCTATTTATGCACATGGTTACACTGAAGTTTGTGTCTCCTGCTTCCAGTCCCTGTTTGTAACACATAAACTGACTGTTAAATTTCTCAGGTTTAAAACTTGTATGATGGTTTTCTTCTATATTTTCCTCACTACTCTGCTTAATGCAACTCTACCATCATAAATCTAAGAAGTTTGCCCGATAGTGTTACAGAGAAGCAATTTCTAAAACCCACATTGTGCAGATTGCTATTAATGAAATATTTAAATGAGTCTTTGTGTCATAACACAGAATAAACTAGCCAGAGTTCCCCATTCTTAGGAAGAATATTTAGAAATGCCACACCCATGTACGTAGCAATGTTGACAGAGATCAATTTGCTAGAACTCTTTCTAATATTGCCATGGTGCTCAGCTGTCAGTTAGCCCCATGGCTATCTGCAGTTTTATTGTTGGACTATATTGGAATTTGAAGGTTTTCACTGTCTGATTTCAAACATTTGACATATATTGTTGTGAAGTTATTTTGTATGTCCACAAAAACTGGCAACTTACATTTTGTCTTTTAAATATGCATGTGGAAAATTTAACCCTTACTGCTTTGTTAAAATATATCCACAGTGATGCAGAGAAGAAGAATGAAGCCCTTAATGACCAAATAGAAGAATTGAATAGAACACTGAAAGCCACTGAAAAAAGGACTGGAGAGATTTTGCAAGAAAAAAAAGATGTAATGAAGGAAATGGATGAGAGACAAACTTTGATGCAAAAGAATGAACGAGAATGCATGAATTTGACAAAATTACTAGAAATTAACGCAGAGAAGGAATTAGCCATCCTATCAGACAGGTTAGAGACATGAGCCATATGGAAAGAATGAATAATTCTTTATTCTCAAAAGTTTATTTCTTTTTTTCTGCTGTTGCTTCTATTTTCACATTTTATGCTGCAACCAGCACAAACTATAAATGATCAGGCTTGGTTTTCATTTCCAAAATATTTGCATAAAAATTTGGAATCTGGAATCTAGGATCTGCCTTGAAGAAGAACATCAAAAAGCACAAGCATTTGATAAAATCCTATGAGATTTTGCTCTTAGAAGTGAAATATTTTAGAGAGTTTCTCCCTTTAGTGAACATATTTTCTTTCCTGTGTAACTCACTGAGAGTAATTTGAAGAAAAATAAAGTATGTCAACATTTTCATTTTTACATGAGGCTCATAGATGTCTTCCCTCATGTAGTCCTGAATTTCAGTGGGGATTGGTTGTCTCTTTAATATTCCCTTCAATTATAATTTTATATTTACTTGGTAAAGTAAAATAAACTGTTAGGTTGAAGGCAAGCTTCCAATGATTCCTCCTTTGCAGGGGGAGATGTATAGTTGTGATTCTGGCCATATGCTCAGCAGAAATACTTTTGCTTTTCAAGCTTTGTATTGAAAGCCCATGGTATCTTATTTTGAAATATTGCCTTATAATAAAAAATGTTTTCTTCTTTCTATATGTACTAGATATGCTGATATTTTTAGCATATTTAGAACAGACTGTGAGACCTCACTGACATAATTAGGGTATTATAATTGATTATTGTTTTAAAAATGCTACCTTTTCAGGTAATTTTGTAAGTCATTTACACGTTTGTCTTGCTGAGCCATAGTGATGAGGTACTCAAAAACCATTAAAATAGTTGTGCCCGTTTACATATATGTCTTGATTAAGTTACCTGTTTCTAAAATTCTGTGTCTATCTATATAGACAAATTCTGGAAAATAATTTAAATAAATGTGTCTTGGAGCACAAAAATCAGCAAGATATTCTCAGTCACCATCAAACACAGAAAGATAAGGAACTGAAAAGTTTAAAAAAGATAGAGTTACAGCTGAAAGAGATTTGGGATTCCTTGGAAGGAGATAAGGCAAAGCATAAAAGACTCAAATCAGAGGTCTGTATGAATGCATTGATCATAAAGATTGTAAATTTTCTTGTAAGAAATATTTCTATGAAATCTCTTGACAGTCCTACAAGGGAAAAGTGGAGAAGATTGCTATTTCATCTTCCTCATTTCCTCCTTGCTTTAGTATTTCACCCATTCCTCTTTTGATAATGCATTACTCTTTAATGCATTACTCTTTTCTGTTTTACTTATTCTTTTGACTATGATAATTCTAAAGGGAAGTACTATTCTGCTTGTGTATTCGAGGCATTTTCTTTCTTTTCTGCTTCCAATTCTTTCTTAAAAATTTGCTTTGTCTATATTATTTTAATGTCTTCTTTCTCTCATCACTAGTTCTTCCATTATCTCTTTCCTATATATATTTTCTCCTATATTTGCTCCTTGCTCAGTCTAGATTCTGAATCATAAAAAATTAATCTTGTTTAGTCAGGTGAATGTTTTTTCACAGCACTTGATGTTTCCTACCTTGACACTGTCCTTCAAATTTTACTTGGTCCTTATAAGCAATTCAGGGCAGAAAAGAATCTTAGATAATTGTAAAGTTTTAAAAAATAGCTATACATATCAAAACTCATATATACTTACCTTTGCTATTTAAACAACTCCAATTATTACTTGATAATATTTAATATTATTAAACAATATTTTTGTCTCCCTTGAAATTCCTCCTGAATTCACATGTGTATTACCTAGTAATATAAGCTCACCTGGGAGAAGGGAGGAAAGCTCTAGAACTACACAACAAAGTTTTGGATTGAATTTCCTTATATAATGATTAAAGGGCTGACTCATATTCCAGACTTCGATCTTAAAGCTTAAAGAGTTTCTGTTCAGTTTCAGCTAAGAGAATCTGGGAGTTGGTATTTTTGCATGTGTTCCCATTGAGGAAAAGTTCCTGGATGAAGAACCACAATTGTTTAAAAACATGTAATGCTAAAATCAAATGCCATAACTCACCGGCAGCTGTGGTTAGAGTTCACAGTCTGGGGTGGGATCCAAACCCATCCTAGCCCAGTTCCTTCACCCTGTGGAAGGACAAGACCTTGTATGTGTGTTACAAACAGCATCGTCACGAGGAGTAAGGGAAAAGGAATGCCATGAGAGACAGAAGTGCAATTCTGATCAGTATTTTACTCCAGCAGCTGCAGGATACTACTCTAATGCAAATAGCCACAGAAATAGAGTTCTTTTAGCCCATCCTCCCATGCTCCATGTTTTCTCTGATTCCTTTCCTTGCTTTGTTAGAAGAGCAAATGTGAAATCACTGCTTCTCTGCATTGAAATACAGTACTGCAGTAAGGAAGAGTCAAGTGGCCAACTTGATTCTGCTTGGCTTTTGCTATACTGGGACAATTTTAATTTGTAAGACTTGGGAGCACACCTTGCAAAACTTAAAAACCAGTATTTTAAGTGGATAAAATTTCTTTAACTACTTAAACCCCCATTCACTGTGATTCAAAGTGAAAAAAATCACAATAATTAATTGTTTGTATAAATATATGATTGCAGAAGCAGCAGTACATCAGAGTGGTTCCCCAAATTTCTTCTTTTGAATCATATGCTAAGTGCAGAATGACTGGTTTGTAGAATAAGGAAATTACAGGAACACTTCCTTCAAATGTGTTTTTCTCGTTAGTAAGTTGTGAAAGGTCAGCTATTGCTAAACACCAAAATTGTGTGTGAAAGAGAACTGAAGGTCCTGCTGTCTCCAGCCTGGAGCAGAACTGCTGCTTCTCTCCATGTGGGCCTTCTCTTTGCTCAGGCCAACGCAGAGACAGCCAAAAGTGCCTAAGTTTAGCCCTGTCCTATGTGAACAGAAGTCCTGAATAGATTAAAGATGTTTATATGAGCTTTTTACTTTTACACAGCAGAAGTGGTAGCTAATATATGCTCTACAGAAAAGTTATTTTTGATCCCAACACAAGATCAAAAGTCACTTTTCTTAGGACAGGCTTTACTGACATTTTAGTAAATCAAATCTCAGAGCTGGCAGCTGCAACTAAAGTAACTCCACACTTTGACCTGTACTGTGTCTCTTGTTTCCCTTTGCCATAATGCAAGTGAACAGAATTTAATTTTACAATACTATCAGAGAAGTGAAAATAACAAGTACAAAATATCTACCTATCAGTACTGATTTATAGTGAACTCTAACATCTGGTTGAGATCTGAGCAAGATATCACAGGGTTGTGTGTATTATCTTTGAATATCTTCCAGGTGTGTTGTTAAATGTAATTTTTTCCCATCCATATGAATTACAGATTTGAAATTAAACTCTTTTGGGTTGGAAGGGACCTTTAAAGGTTATTTGGTCCAAACCCTTGCAGTAGGCAGGGACAGCTTCACCTAGTTCAGATTAGTCAGACTTCAGTCCAATCTGGCTTTGAATGTTTCCACAGACAGGGAGGGCATCAACCACCTCTCTGGGAAACCTGGGCCTTGTTGAACAAAATTCTTCCTTATATGTAATCATCCCTCTTTTATTTTAAAATTTATATTCCTTTTCCTATCAGAGCAGCTCCTGCTAAACTGTTTGTCCCCACCAATTACACAGAAGGAATATGTGCCATCATAGTTAGCCTGATGCATTTTTTCTTGCTTTCTTATAACCATAAAGAATGTTTAAGTTAAGTTAATTACAGTGAGGCTAGTACAGCTTTTTGTCTTACAAGTTATATTATGTATGTAGTTGTAGTGAGGTTGATCAGACATTTTAATCAGAGGTAGTGTTTTTAACATATTCCTTCAAATACTTAGTGTTAAAATCTGATTGAATAAATGAATTTTCCCATAATGTTCATGAAAAAATAATACATAAATGTTTGTGTTATTAGATTTTACTTTCTAAGGTCTAATGAAAATCCTACTGTAGTGACAAAAAGAAAAAGATGTGATATTCATTCTATGTAGATGTGAACTCTTTTTTTCCCTTTAGTAAGCTCAGAATTTCACTCTGAAAATCCTCTGTGAATTTAGGTGATACTTTTATATATTCTCTCTGTGTTTAATGTTTTTTAATGACAATTTAGTTGCTGAAAACCATAAACCTTCTAAATTTGTGAAGTTTAATGTTCATAGCTCTTGAAAGAAAAATTTGAGAAACTTCAGTAACTTGCTGAGGAACTCTACGCAATTAAGCATACTTACTTGTACTAGCAATTATAAAAGAGAAAAATGTAATTTCTTAATTTGTGTAGCTACTTCTAACACAGTATCTACAGTTTAAATTTTCCTCATTTTTTGTTTGCATCACTATGTGCTTGGTTTATTTTTGTAGGCAGAAATTAACTCAAAAAACAATGCAGTATTATTAGAAAGACGACAAGAACTGCAAGAGGAGATTGAAACGCTCAAAAGAGGTTTAGCTGAACAGGTGCTGAATTCTGCTTTCTCATATTTTTTCATTTTGACAGTTGATTTTCTATCATGAGAATAAAGGAACTGTTTGAAGAAAAAAATAATGGAGTTTCTAGCTGCAACTTTCTGGAGAGAACATGCAATAGTATTTCTTCAGTTTTAAAGACCACTTGTCTTTCATTTTTAAAAATATTTCTGGTATTACAGGCTATATACTAGAAGGTAGAAAGCAAATCAACTTTCTAGTTTAAGTTTTTCTAAATGTTGTTGATGACACTGCAGTTAGAAATATATTGTTATACATTTCCTTTGGCTATGAAACCATGTCTTGTTGCAACAATAGAAATTCAGCATTTTTACATTAAGGTTTTTCATCTTCACAGTTCTGTCATTTGTGGATGTCTGTCTGTATGCAGCACAGCCATACAGAGTGTGGCAATGCAGAAACCTGTGTTACAAGAGCTTTAGTACTTGACACTACATAAATGACTGTAAGAAGCAATCTGTTTCAGACATACCTCCTTGGTACCTCTGAGGTCAAACCTCCTTGTCTTCTTACCCTTATATCCATTTTCTTCATGTGTTTTGTTTGAATTCATTAACATTATCAAGTGGGGATCTGCTTGTATTTGGATACACATGCTTTCCAGTACCTACCTGTCATTCTCTGGGATATGTAACTTGTGTGCCATGGACAGGCATGCAGTCAGTGGAGCCTGGGAAGCTTCCATTCACCTCCTGCTGAAGACCTGACACTGAACTTACTTAAAGATTATATAAATATCCATTCTGTCCAATGGACTATAGCTGAAAGGTGTTGGACTGAGGAACAGAAATGCTCCTAGGTGATAATGTATTCTGAAATATTATTATAGGGATTGTGCATGGTGTTTTAGAGCAATAATTTATTATGGTTTTAAATCTATGTAGTCTGTATATTTGTTTACGTTGCAGATAAACCCAAAATATTTCCAGCTTTGGGTTTGCCAATACTGATACATTGTTGCATTAGGATTTAAATGTAATCTTCTCTAGGAAATGATATCAGATATGGATGCCCGCGTGTTAGAAGAATGCATTGCTGCAGAACAATTGCTTTTCAAGGAGCAGGAAAAAAGCAGAAATGAGTTATCCACACTTACACGTCTGACTTGGCTCAGAGCTGATGAGAAGCAACTGAAATGCAGGGATGTTCAGAAAACCAAGGTAAAAAATTATGTATTTCGAAGAGTGTTCAAAAGTACCAGCTGGTATAGGGAGAAATTAAATTACTAGTGAGGGGAGCCTGTGGATTCATTTCCCACCCTAGATTTGAAGTTCCACCAGAACACTGGAAACTCACCATACTGCGGTGTTTTATTGCAATTTATGGTGCAGTGCAATATGTTAAAATATGACTCCATAATTGAAACAAGTTATTTGAAGTGCACGGCCAGGAGTTGGTCTTGTGATCCTGGTGGGTTCCTTCCAACTCAGCATGTTCTGTAACTCTAAGACTCTGTGATTTTCTTTCAAGACCATGGGATAAAATGAACAATTTGAAAGAAAGAGGCAGAATAGCAGACAACATGAGATTCCCATAAGTAAAACTGTGTGGTTTATTTTACAAATATAAGAACATTAGCAGATAAACTGAACTACTACTCATTCCAAAGTGAGGCAGAAATTTCTATTTTCCTGTTACATTTCAAAGCATAAAAAATTATATTGATTTAGAGAACAAGGGAAATAAAACTTTTCCTATGACTAGTCATTGTATTTGCTGCCTGCATTTTTCTGGCACGACATGTGCTGTGATGTCATACAGAATTTGCTAAATTCCAAATTGCTATATGGAAACGAGGTATTGATGTTTCCAAAATGTATGTCTGTAATCAGATAAATTAGATAAGCTACCCTTCCACCATTTTGGGAAACTCTGTTTGTAAATATAAACAAACATGTCAGGCTTTGTGCCTTCAATAAAATCAGTCCATAAACAAATAAAACAAATAAAATAATACAAATTCAGGAACACAAAGACAAGCCCAGTGTTGCAGCCCATCATCCACCAGCTTTCCCTAATACCAATCTCCTCCTCCTGATACCAGTGGGAGAGGAGAAACGGCCTCTCAATTTAAGATTGGTGGCCCAGGCTATTGAGGACTGAACACAACTGGAATCAAAATATCCAGAAACTTAACAGAATGCAATTCTGCTCGAGTATCAGTGAATGCTTAAAAGTCAGAATCGAGTAAGAAAGAAGTTTGATTTGTAAAGATACAATTTCAGTGGTTCATATGCTAAATAATTATAAAGTGATGGACTTGACAGGCTGATCAGTAGAAAGAGTGGAACTCCAGATACAGAGAACCAAGCATTTAAGATGCAGCATCAAATTATCTATCTTACTAATAGTAATTGTAACTTAATATAAATGGAAAAACTGTGCTTTTTTTTATGTTGTTGTAATAAAAACATTCCATTATAATAAGAAGAAGTTCTTATACTAATGTCCTCTCACTGTCTTTCTCATGTAAGAATTGTTCTGGGTAATTTCATTGAAGACATTTCTCTAGTATATCTAAAGTTCTTACTAAATTTTATTTGAATTTCAGATTCAACTCCAAAGTCTTGTTAAAGAACTAAAAAGACTGGATCGTGAACTAGTCATCTGTAAAAAGATGCAAAGAGAAAACCAAAAAGAGTAAGAAAATAATAACAATACGTTATTTCAAAAAAGTCTTCTAAAGCAACTTTTATCCAAGTAACACATGCATAAAATGCTAATAATTATTTCTTTCATCTCATTTCTTCAGACTCCAAGGATTTACTAGGATGTATGATCTTATACTAATTGAAAAGGATAAATGTATAGATTTGATGCGTATTGCTCAGTGGAAAGCAAAAGAAGTTGAAAACCGGGTAAAACTGCTACAAAATAATATAGAAAATTTAAGAGATTCTGTTATGACCAGAGAAAGGTGAGTTTAAAGTACACTGTAGTTCACAATTATAGAAATTTAAGACTGGAAAAAATCTTAGGAGGGAATCTATTCCATCTTCAATTATGCCCATATCATCCTTGACAGTTATTATCCAGTCTTTTTAAATGTGATTAAAACAAAGGCATTTAGAAACTCCCCTCCATAATCTGTTCCAATTTCTTATCCCACTAACACTCCACAACCGGCTTGGGCATCACTGCTTGTCAGAAAGTAGTTTTGTAGTTTGTCTGGCTGCTCTCTCTTTTCTCATCCTTTATATCAGAGTTCTTGGATCTCTCAGGTTTTGCATCATCATGCTGTTGCATTCAATATGAGCATCACCATTGCACTCATATTTGCTGTCCTTAGAGAAAAAGAGGTCTGACACATATGGTTTCCTAATGAAGGGGTGCATGGGACTATTAAAGGAGTCACTAGCTAGGAATATGGCTGTCTAATTATTAAATTAGAACAAATTGGGGATTTTGGTTCAAACTTACACTGAAGTTTATTACATAACATTTATTTCAGTTAAAATGTGGTTTCAATTTCTAAAGAAACATTCACAGCAAAGATAATGAGGCAGAATAGCTGGTACTTGTGACTCTCTTTTTTCCTAGACCATTATTTAGTGAGGATAATTTTTTGCCATTTTTTGTCATTCTAGCGATGAAATTCTGCATTATAGACAGAATTACAATGTCTTGGAAATCTGTCCTTGGGCAAGTAGGGAGACAATGAATAGCCATCTGTGTAAGCAAAACAGGAAAACCAAAACTGAGTAGTTAAAAAGAACCTGATTTTCCAAAAACTTCGTTATTTGGTGCCAAATAATTGTTAAATCAGACAAAGAATACATTAAGTATTTTTTGTGAATCTCCTAGTAGTTTGATTTTAAAAGTCATGCTAGAGATAGCTAAAAAAGAGGTAGAACCCCTGATTGAAGTGATTTTGTCAAGATGTACAAGCTAACATTTTATTGTAAAAATTTTGAGGCCTTCCCAGTTGATGAAAGAAGGGGAAAAAAAGGCTAACAAGACATAAATTTTGTATAGATATCAGGAGTATATAAATATTATTATTGATGTCCCTACTTGGTACAGATCCAACAGATATTTTGGTCTCTGCACAACTAGATTTAAAACTAGCCAGAGGTATTGAATTTTCAGTAACCCTCTTGCTTATGAAAAATATTTGAAATCACAGTGATAGATTTTAGTATCAGTACCACTGACTTCACTGCAACCCATGCAGTTTGGAGGACAGAGTATCAGTCCAAGTAAGGCAAGAAAATTTCAGAAAATATTTAAAATGCATTGCATTTCTGCAATTCTGTTATACTTTCAGTCTGAGACTTGACTTACAGATGTTTAATTAAATTCAGTAATATCCTGTGGTACTCAAAGTGTTATACATACGGGGGAAATGAAAGAAAGCAGCTCCCTGTCCTATATGCAGCAAATCAGCAATTTAATGATGGAGCCCATGAGGGAAGGATATTTCATCTGCAGGTCTGTATTTTAACAAGAGACTTTGCTTCTCCTGTCACTACCTCTTTTGTACGTTGACATGAATATCTTCTTGGTGTAGATAAAGTTGTGTCTTGATCCAGAAGTGATACAGATCAAATGTAGTAACTCTAAATTCTGTGCTGTGAGATAGTAAATACTCCATTTGGTGACAAGAATCTGTCTTTTAAATGACAGGCCATCATCCAGTGATCAACAAGGATGCTGGAAATAATGAGAAATGTTCTTTATTTTTATGTGATCTTGTCACTGACCTCCCATTATGTTTTGGTTTCTTTTTTCATCTGTCAAATGGGCAGATGAAATAATAATAGGCAATCTAATAATTTTCTTTCTTGTGCTAATGTTGTGACACACTGTTTTGTAAACAATAGATTTGGAGAACTTTGAGTTGCAACAACAAAATAAATATCCTTATTTAAATAGAATGGCAGGATTTCTACACATTAAGACTTTTCATCACAGTTTATGCCTATGCTCTTAAACTTTATTTTTTGTGTCTGCTTGGGCTACCTAGTACAAAATAAAAAAAAAAGCTGTAGTGCAATGTTCCCTGTATAGCATTTTTCTTGTGCCAGAATCCAGTTCCTTTCAAGCTGGAAAGAACTTGCAAAAAAATCTGCTCTCAGAATGTCTTTCTTCTTCTTGTAAAGCTTCTGTGAAGCACAGACATAGAGGAGCCCTTGTGTGCTTGAAAAATACATTTAAGCTCTGCTTTTAGTTGCTGAAATTGGTTTCCAATTGAAAGAACTAAAAATATTCCCATATTTCTGTTATGTTACAGAAAATTGCAGGAGGACTATCTGAAGGTTAAAAAGAATGAGAGAATGAAAGAGTTGATCCAAAAGGATTATGAAAAAGTTGAACAAGAGATGCTAGAGAGTAAAGAAAAGGAAAAGTATTTGAATGTTGACAGACTTACCGCTGCAGCCACAGGCATTCAAAAGGAAATTTCACAGCTACGCAAAAATTATGAAAGGGCTATTGAACAACGAAATGAGAGGTACATTTGTAAATTTGATCTAAGGTAGTGTTTAATTTTGACATTCATGAAGCAAAAATATTTTTTAGCTTATGAGCACTCCTCGTTAGGATTGTTAAAGGTCTGTGGCACTGCAATGTTTCGCTGACCAGTCCCGCTCACTGCACTGCCAGTGCTGCTTTGCATTGGGCAGATGTTCCTCACTGCTGATCGTGGTCATGCTTCAGAATTATTATTCAAAAAATATGGTACCTTGGCTACGGAATGCCTTGAGAACTTGTAGCCACCTGCTCTGTTTGTGCATTGTGCACAGTTAAGGCATCTGCAAAAATGCAGATTATCTAGATCTCTCTGATCTTAATCCAGTTTTAAATGCTGTTGAAGGCCAGAAGACCTTAAAAATTATTTGAGAGACAAGAGTCACCTTTCCAAGTTTGTTTTCTGATTTTCACATTGCTATTATTTTGTTACTTATTTAAAATGCTGTCATTAGATTAAAATAATTGTGAAAAGCTTGATGCATCATCACAGATTATCTTTTAAGATAACTTTTTAATGTTCTTGAATGGAATACACTGAATATGGCTCGCTTTTTTTAAAAATTGTCTTTACATTTTGGCTTTATTTCAGTGGTCTTTTGCTCAGAGAACGAGAAGAAGAACTAGGCTTTTTGTATGAAAAAATAAACAGGCAAGAGGTGTTGTGTAGGAATGGAGATACTAAGATGCAAGTTATGGATGAAAAGATCAGCTTTCTGAAGCTGAAGTTAGTTGAAAAAAAAAGAGAGGTTAAATTGTGTTTTAAAGAGCTCACACTGAAGAATGCCCTGGATGCACATCTGGTGAAACTTCGGATACAGGTTGGTGTTAAAGGAAAAAATTTTTTACAATCGTTTTGTATTTTAAAATTTAAGATTTCATAGGAAAAAATATTTGGATGTACAAGGTTAATTAAAACAGAAAGTTTGGTAATACAGCTGTCTAGCAAAACACTGATACGTGTTTTTAACTTCACATATGTGAGTTTCTATGCTTATGTGTAACTGGCTCACGGTCTTTCACACACGCCAAATGTTTCCTGGGTATGGAATTCCAGCTAACCCATCCCACAGCCTGAAATGTCAGTATGACTAAGCTGGAGAATGGGAGTCATGGGGGAAAAATGAGACTGTAGATAAAATTTGTTAAAACTGTATTGATGGAGTAGGTGGAGGGGTGGGAGATACACTTAGACCATCAAATTTCTAAAATAATAACTCAATTCACACTTGACCCTGAGCCTACTCTGGAAACTCTGCTGCCTACAATGATATAATCCACATATATTTTCTTTTGAGCAAAAACAGTGTAAGTTTTAGTCCTAGTTACAAAACAGCATTAAACAGCTAACAAACTGCAGTGCTTGGGACATTCTTTCCTTGCTTTCTGAAATGGCTCATTTACTTTTGACCTTATCTCCACATGGTAATTTTTCCCATACATACTCTGTTAATGCCTGCACAAAATCATAAATTGCCTTTCAAACTCATACCAATGGGAGCTGTGGCTCACTGTTTAATAGTGCTTGCACTATTCTCTCACTTCTGGACTTTTGAAGAAATTGTATGCTCTGCTATAAGAACAAAACAGTACATGCTTTAATACCTCATGCAAATCCTTACACAAAGACCTTTGCAGGGCCATCATATATTTAAATGATGAACCGAGGCAGTATTAAAAAAAAAAAAAATTCAGGTAAGATTTAAAATGAGACTGGGAGTCACTGAGTCAAATACAAGTAGTAACAAAATGCAGATGATTTTTGTGAGTTGACAGAATCAGTAATGAAATTTTGCTTTTTCTGTTCTGCATTCCTGCAACTTTCTCCGTTATGATGATAATTCATATGAAACCTAAATCACTGTTAAAGGGAGCCTATTGTTGGAGGTGTTTTAAATCTTTTTGCAATGTTGACATAAAATTAAAAAGTAGGAAAATACAGAGTGCTGTGATATTGTGCCTGCAGTAGTCTTAATAAATGTTCCCAAGTGAGGAGTTTCCCAGTGAAGAATGGCGAATAATCAGTTATCAACCTTTACAATTTAACTAGATACTGTGATTACTGAACATTACATGGCTCAAACTGCCTGTTAACTTGTTCATCTCCTCATGCTCCACCATTCATCATTAATACTCTTACTCCCACTGCCAACAGGAATTAAGTCCAATGAGAAGCAGTTTCAAATTGTTTGGCTTTATCTCCATGATGTAAACAAAAACCCTGAGCCCAAATCTGAATTTTGATGTTGATTGCAAAATTCATGCTGCTGGTTCTTGTAGTGATTACAGATTTGACCCCATGTTGAAATCTGACTCAGCTTCTGTTCAGTCACCATGGTCACAGACTGTCTGGATTAGGCAGGCTGAATCCTGCACCTGTGCCTCTTTTGTCCTCCCCTTTTCCCACCCTTCCTGCCTCCTTCTGTCTTCAGCAATACCAGACCTCTTTGAAGCAAATGCTAGTAGCATGGACTAGGTATTTGCATTATTATCAATGAAAAAAATTTAAACCAGAAATATTTACAGACTGCAAAAACTGACCCATAATCTCAGCAGCTGTAGTGCCCATTGGGAAGGGGAAAAGCCCAGATCAGGGCTGTGTGCCAGTTCAGCAAGAACAAACACTCCACCTGGGTCTCCTACATTCCACATGAGCTGCTTAATCATCAAAGTGATGCATGTTCCACTTGTATGCTTTTCATCAGAAGCTTGCTATTTCCACAAAACACTGGTGAATAGTTAAGCTAAAAAATACCATTGTCTGAAGCAAGACCAGACCTCTTCTAAGCAAGTGCAAGTAACATGGACTAGGTAGGCTTGTTAACATCAAGGTAAAGATTTAAAAATAGAAATATTTACAGGCACTTCTTTACACAAAAAGTACCTGGTGAGACTGTAAGGTGGTTTTCTCTGGGCATAGAACTATGTAACTTTTAATTGGGACTGCACATCAAGAGATTGTTCCTGCTGGCTGAAGTGACCCATAAAAACTAATCTACCTTCATGCATCAATGAGAAATACTTAGCATTAATCATTAATTAGTCCAACACGTAGACCTGCTGAGCTGTCATGGTGCTGTAGATGGGACTTTCATGCCTTAGAGCTCAGGCAATATGCAAGGATTGTCAGTTTATTTGAGGCATTTGGCAACAACATTTGTCCAGGTTTTAATACATGAAAATCTTCAGACTATGTCACCACATCATAGAATAATGGGACTAGTAGAGAGATAAAGAGTTTATCTAAGCAATCTGCTCCCACAGCAGCGTTGGATTGCCTGAGAGGGCTAAGCTGTGGTTTCAAGCCACCACTGAGAAAGGTTTCCCCAAGCAAGCTATCCCAGTCTTTACTTAACAGCGGAAAAATTTTCTTGAGCTTTAGCCTGGATCTTTCTTGCTGTGGTGTAAGAATATTGGTTTGTATTCTGTCCTCCAGGGACATTACAAATGGACCATTCTTTTCTGCAACATTTCATGTTACTGGAAGGATGTTAATCATGTTCCTCTCCCATCCTTTTCCTAGGCTACACAACCTTGTTTCTTTCAATCAGCTCTTACAGATTTTTCTTAGATCATTCTTCTGCATTTCTTTTAGTTTTGGCAATATAGTTTTTATTTGTTTCGAAGGGCAGTGCCTGGTACCTGTGGCTGAGTGAAAGGATTCATTCAGGCATCTTGCAGGTTACCTTCCTGCTTATGCATCCAGGTATGGTGGCACCTTTCTTGACACATGACAAGGTGATTCATCTTCGTGTTAATGTGTGTAACAACCAGGCCCTTTTTTAAAGAAAGGGCATCCAACCAGTTGATTTGATTCTGTTTTTGTAGAGGCAGTTTTTCCTTTCTACATGTAACTACTTGCATTTTTTAATTTGCTATTATCTTTTTGGTTCAGACTTTTTTTCAGAGAAAGGTAATTTTGCATTTGAATATTTTCCGAAAAATACTTGCAGTCTCTCTAAGCTTAACCTCATTCCATTGAAGAGGTATTTACTGTATATTTTAATCAAGAACCCATTTATGTTGTTTGTTAAATACTTGCAGTCTCTCTAAGCTTAACCTCATTCCATTGAATAGGTATTTACTGTATATTTTGTTTATGAGAATATCATATGATACATTGAAGCTATATAAATATCAAAATGTATGATACCTACTATTTGTCATCCACAGACCTGTGGAATTATCATAGTAGACATTGATCTGGTTTGGCATGACTCAACACACCTGTGGTGGCTGTTATCCCTGTTATTTTTATCTTCTTGATGCCTACGAAGAAAACTTAATTATGTGTTCCAGATTTATTCTTCAAAAAGAGAAGTTATCGTGGTTCCAAAGCTCCATCTGTACCCCATCATGTTTTAAAATAGGTCTTGCATTTGCCCTTTTTTAGTGCTGTACATACCTCACCTACCTTCACTGAGATTTCAAAAAAAGAAGCTGATGTCCACTTTTTCAGACCAGCTGCTTTATCTAGACATGTGTTCCCTCCTTCAATAATTCCTCCTGACTGATTACAGTCCAATGTAGAAAAGCCTCTCTTCTACAGTCTTTTCCTATCCCCTGTATAAACCCACTCTAAGAAAGAGAGAAAGGATTTTTTAAAATTTTAAGACTTAGACTTTCTTATGACTCAGATAGTCTTTTCCAACGAAAACACTACAAATTAGTAGGAAAAAAAAAAAGAAAAAAAAAGCTGCCTGTAGTATAGTCATGTTACTTAAGCAGACACAGAATAGCATGGTTATCACTAAATGCACTTTTTGATGCTTTTGGATTGGCTTGCATCTGATCACTTCCAATTCATATTGCATTTAAAAGTAAGGCTAGAATTTACATTTAACATGAAAGTTTTTAATGGTTTTTGGACTGTGGTTTTGCTGCAATAGTCCTTCTCTAAATTAACTATTCAGGCCTGCAAAATTTTCTTTGGTGAGCTGCCTCTAATCTCATTAAGATACCACTGCCTCCAACAAGGCATTTTCCCCTGAGTTAGTGGTTGAGAAATTTGGCCCCAAATAGAAAAGATCACTGGAAGCATAGCTGCATCCTGCTGTTTGTGCTGGCCCTGCTTTTACATTCTTCCATTCTGTGTATTTTTGGGCTTGAGTTTTAGCTATTTGTTAGCAAAATGTAACTTTCAATACCTAGCTATGTTCAGAATCATGGTTTGCCAAGGAAATTGTTCATTACGCTCATCTATGGTTTTTACTTTAGCTGCTTTTAGACAAAGTGTACAGGAGTGAGTTGTGTGGTGCTTTTTTTACTAGGAAAATAAGTATTTAAGTGTTCTGGTAATGTTCCACTGCCACCTGAGAATATCTGTCAGTTTTCTCTTTTCTAGTTAAATATGACTTGTTAGCTTCCAGTGACAAACCTCATCCTGGCAACATCTAAACATTTACTTTATATTTTGGTGACTGTTCATAACTTTGAGAGCTGGGGACCACTTATTTCCTTAATCAGTCATCACCTGGAGTGGATGGTTAACATTTACACTTGGGTAGTTATGTCAGTGCAGACAGCTCACTGACAGCCAGCCAGGTGCACATCAGAGCACACAGCCCCACCACTGTCAGTCTTGCAAGTCCAAACATGAAAAAACAGCCCCAGCCACTCGTTCAGTGAGTATTTACACTGAGCCTGGATGTCCCTGTAGCATATTCTGGGAAGCATTATTCCATGGGAAGGTCTCACATGGGAAAGGTCAGGGAACACCTGCCTCTGTGAGTCCCAAGGGTACCTCATTGCTCAGTGTCACCACAGAGTCACTTCAGGACACATGCCTGGGAATGTTAGTGTAGAAAACTTGGATGTCTGCAGGGATGAGACCCTCAGTACCGACCAGCAGGGAAGCAGAGCTTTCTATTGTATTCCTGAGGATAAAAAAACAAAAGGTAGCCTGCAACTGTCACACTGTAGTTCTCTTTTAAAAGAAAAATTTTAAATGGCTTATTTAAATGGCTAATCCTTGTCTGTTTAAGTCTCCAGACCAAGGTCTGGGGATGAGTTGGGTGGGAATAAATAACTGTTGAGACTCTTTTTTTTTGCTAGTATTCCCAGTGCAGAGACAAGATTAAAAAGCTGGAGGAAAACTATGGTGATGCCACAAATGAGAGCAGAAAGCAAGAAATGGGAGGGAAGGACCCATCTCCACCTGAGCTGCTAAAAAGGATTGAAAAGGTAACGTCACTTATCATAAGCTATCCTGCTGTGCTTGACCTCTTTTAGAAATTGCAAATAGTGTCTTTTATTTTTAAAATAAACTTTCTGTAAGAGGAATAAAAATAATTATGATTGGCCAATGTGAACTCCAGCCTAGCATCTGCTTTTCAGGTCAACTGAACATGGGACATTTGACTTCTTCCAGGAGAGGCTGGGGAGGGGGAGCTCTGTGAGGTACCCCTGGCTGTGCAGCATCCTCTGGCACTTCAGTGCAGACCCACCTCACTAGGGGAAGGCACAGAAAAGGCAGCAGAGGGAGATAAATGCAGAATTATAAACTGCTAACAAACAGGGTTGTCAGTCTTTGCTAACTGGCCATGAGCTGTTTCACCACTATCCACGGGCTGTGAGCAGGAGGCAGACCTGCCAGCCTCTTCACAAAGCCTGCATGTGTGACACAGAAGCAAACACTGTCCCTTGTTAGGGCCGGGCCCTACTGCTTTGCTTCCCTGCTGAAAAAACAGCCACTGAAGAGAGCCTGGTGGAAGCAGCAGCCAGGCCAGCCAGCAGCTGACACCTGACTGCAGCACTGCTGGTGACTGCCCCGGGGACTCCAGAGGGAAGCATTAGGTCCAGTGGAGAGCCAGTTTCAGAGCCCTCTGTGTGGGGTGAGGAAGGTAAAGGAACAGCATTTTCTTATATAGTTCTGTCTGTCCCAGTTATAGAAACACAAAACTCTTCCCACGGTGTTCAGAATTTGGAGGGGATTCACAAAGGGCTCTGAAGGTGTGAGGGCAGTAGCAGCCAGCTCTGAGCACACCCCAGCGTCCTGCTTTGAAATCCAGTTTGTAAAGACAGACCCTGAACTCAGCTTCTTGAATTACTTGAGGTTTTTGCTTTACTGTCCCATATTCCTTGACAGGAGGGAGCTCTGCAGAGCCAAGCAGGCCACAACAGAGCCTGTTACCAACAGCCTACACATTAAGAAGAAGGTTTCTTGGAGTCGTGATAAGTTTAAATGTCTACTTCAATCTCCATGGGATTTAAAGTCATTGTAGTTATAATTTGTTTATGGAGCCCATACTCTTTTAGGCATGAGGGGAAAAGTATTTAAAGCAAGAGCTGAAACTTTCCATTGTGTTGTGACTCAAGGAACCAAAAGATTAAAAAAAAATAATGACTAGAAAAAAGCCTCATTGCTTTCAAGAAAACCACAGCAAGGCAGTAACAATGGTGTAACCCCTGCCCCCAAAAGGGCCTGGCCTGATATGGAAGAACTGTACAACTGACAGCAGCCAACTGAACCAATGTGGGCCTGATCCTCGGCAGAGAAGGTGTACATTTTGAGAAATCTGATAGTGAAGGTATTCGTTTATGACTGTTCACCGGTATTATTCCAGCAGCTCAAGACAATCACAGAACGCCTTGTGCTGCACCTTCCCCTGTGCTTTCCTTACACTGTGTCCTCCCTCTTGCTGCAGATAGAGGCAGAGCTGGTGCAGAAGGAGCAGAGGCTGCTGAAGATAGATTTCCTCTGCGAGAACATTTCCGACCTGACGGACAGAATGCGCACTGTGGTGGAGAACGGCAAGCAGGACATGCTGCTGTTCGCCAGGAGGGTAAGAAGGGCTCTGCACGCCAGCCTGTGCAAAACGAAACAGTATCTGGGCAAGGGGTGATTCACTTGCAAATTACAAAAGTGGCTGGAAATGCTGAGAGGCAAATCATAAGTTAGTCTTCAGAAATTACAGACAGGAATAGCAACAGTAATACAGATAAACTGAAACTATTAGGTGAATGCCCTCTCTTTTAAAAACAAAGTTGCACCATAAATAGTACCTTTCACTAAAATATAGAATTAGCTCTTTCTCAAGTAGATGCTTAGAAAATTTGTAGGATCCTCCTTTCGCAAATGTACTTAACAGCCTTTCCTCAACAAACAGCTCTAAGGCTAAGAAAAAATAAGGGGAAAAAAGAAATAAAGGAAGGCCAGGTAAATTCTACTCTGACATACAAAAAGATGGACTTGGTATCTGGCTCAAAGTTCTTCTGTTGTTTAGGTAGGGAGAATCACACAGGAAACATTACTTCCAATACAGTTTTAAAAATATAATTATAGCAATTTGCTTTTAACTGCAATTACTATTGTTTGGGAAAGACCAAAAATGCTCCTAGCCCCCATATTCCTAATGAAAAAGCTGCACATTGAGCAGAGCTGAGGGAAAGGCAGAAAAAAAAGCTAAGTAATTAATGTAAAACAAGGCCAGGGTACAAATTTTTCTTAAATGTTAGGTTTGGCACACATGAAAGCTCAAAACAGTTTTGTAAAATTTATTTTAACACAAACAGAAATATCATGGTTGTTAACTGTGTTTGTGAAATTATGGCCATGGGCTAATAAACTACTGTAGGAATGGCTGTGTGCCAAAAGTTGCATTTGCAAGTGCTCTGGCTGTCCCAGTTCCAATTAGTCATTTAAACAGTATTCAAATTTTTTTGTTTTTTCAAATCATCTGCAGTGAGACTCAAGGATTTCTGTCACACTCCTTTTCTGTTTGTCCCCCTTCCAAGGATAATGTCACAACCCACAGCCCCTGCATCAGCATTATCACTCAATTATCTCATAGGAATTGGGCTTATTCCAGCTTTATTATGAAGCTAATTGTGTATAAACTCAAAAAGAATTAAGGAATTGGGATCCCAGGCCTTTGAGGGCTGGGGGAGTTTTGCTGTCCAGCTGAAAAGGTCAAGAAGCAAAGACAAATTTTCTTTTCTTGTACTGGAGTAAATGTGACTCCTTGAGCAGCCTCTTTTTTTTTTTTTTTTTTTTTTTTTTGTTCTAAGTGTTCACAAAAATTAAGTAATTTTCAAGCACTGAACTACTATTTAAAACCTTATCAAGGTGGACTTATTTTCATGTGCCTAATACTGACCTAAATGTCATGCCCAGTGAGTGCCTAAAGGGAAGCCCTAACTACAATGCAGCTGTTTTGCATTCCAGACCAACGATCTGCAGAGGAAGATAAATCACAAAACCCAGGAGATAAGGGCTCTTTTTGCAGAGTTATCCATGAAGCAAGCACTTGCCCTTAAACTCCGGCAGGAAATCAGAGACAAAGAACAATTTGTGATGACTGCTTCATTTATGATAAGTCAAGGTCTTCCCCCTCCTAAAGCAGAAAAGGACCAGTGGAAGATCCTAGACAATGAGAAGATACAAAAAGCAGCAGATGAAGACAGAGCTAAAGTAAGTTTTTGTCATACATTGCAAGAGCTCCAGGAGGCAGTGCAGATGATGGTACAGAAAGAGACAACTGACAACCCACTACAGTGGGTTTGTGCAGTTTTAACTCTAGTCTGGCAACACCTCTTGGAGCTGGTCATTGAATCTTAAGGAGATCATACACTAAAAACGTCACCTTTGGTTATTAAAGTAGTTTGTGTGACCATATTGTGGCCGAAGAGCAGGGCTGCCATCACTGCTTTTCACTGGATTTCGAGGTAAAGCTGCAAAAGGTGGAGTGTGGGGTTCAGGAGAAGTTTAATGTCTCCTGCATACAAGATACAATGAGCATCAGATCAGAAGCAGCAAGAAATCACTGCTGAGCAAGACACTGCGGGTAGGCAGGGCAGCATGGCAGACAGCACTTGAATCCTTACCCTGCTGGACACTGCCTCTGTCCATGAGATGGTCAGTGATCCCAGAGCAGAGCTCCTAAATAATAATATTTTAGAATAAGAAACTTCTGTCATGAAACTTCTCCTCATGCTGTGACTCAAGTTTTCTTTCAGTGCTGTGGATAAAGGACCACTCTAGTAACTGTATTCATGAACAGAATTTTTCCACACATCTTCGGTGCATAATTACTACATCTTTTAAAAGTTCATCTAATCTGTTTTCTTTACAAATAACAAAAGCATAGCAGGCTCAAACTGTCTACTGTTTAAAAGGACAAACTCATATCTACATGGTCAAACCCCATGCTTTCCTTTTAATATCCCTTCAGCTTTCCTGGCATGCCAGGGATTAGACTAAGGGCATTGCCTTTGTCATGGATTCTGTACACTGGCTCGGGGAAGCACTGGAGTTTTAAAGCACACAACCCCTGTGTGACCAAGCTGTGTTTCTCTGACAGGAGCCTGAAGAGGAGAAACAAGCTGCACTGCCCAGCTACGACCCCATTTTTCCCAAAGAGGAGGAGGAGGAGGAGGAGGGACTCCCACTGCTGCAGCCTCACATGGCTCCCTCCAGACCAAGTGAGCCCCGCCCGAGTGCAAGACATTTCAAAAAGCCTCCTGCCAAGCCATCTGAAATCTGAACAGACAGCACCCGAAGCAGGAGAGACCAATACCAGCTGCTGGATCACAAGAGTCAGCAGCATTTACACTGCACTGAAGGTGTTCAGCCAAATTTCATGCTGAAAATGAAGTACTTGTTCATGCCAAAAGCACAGCTAACTGGTCAGAGATCCAGAATCCTTTCTCCTGGTATCCCAAATGCAGTGCAGTATTTCCAAGTGCCAAAAAAAGTGAGTCATCCTCATGCTATACTTACTTTTTTTTCCAGGTGAAGTTTTATTGCATCTGAAGGTATGTTAAAATACATTCATTAAAAGAAAAGGCTAGAAAATCTTCTCCTATTATTATATAATACAAAGTGGCCATCATTTATAGCCACACACCAACATGGCTTTCTGCAGTCTGGGACTGGAGGTTACACTTGCCAGAGAAATTCTAATTATGTTAAGAAAAATATTTCTTCTCACTATGCAGTCACTAAGAAAGCTAAAGATTCACTGCTGGCAGTGACAAGTGTGACCATGAACTTGCCAAGTCACTGCCAGGACCCAGATCTTTTAATTTCACTGGTAAGGAACAGGGAGCATCAATGGACACCACTCAGAGAGAATATCAGAGGTTGTTTCGAAAAGCTCCCAAATATATAAAATATTAATGAGTTTTTCTAGTTTAATAGTCTGGAATTTTGTCGAGTTTTATAAAATCCAATAAAGGGTGCAGAAATCCTGCATGGCACAACTTGACAATATTCTCTGTGTAGCAAATTGCTATTACTATTTGAAATTAATGTCACAGTTCAGAACTTAAAAGAGCAAACAATATTGGTTCAGTTACATACAAACAGAAGTTGAAAACAAAGGAAAAACAGCCTGCCTAATTTCTTTCTGAAGCTGAAGTTTGAACTCTAACACTAGAAGTTGTAAGAAAGGATTATGTAAAACTCTGTCCAAGCCACTGTTAAAATCAATTTCTAAAGCTTTTTTCTTATCCTATATTACTTACAATATATTATACATATCTTCAAAAAACAATAAAAAAACCTCAAACAAACAAACAAACCCCCAACAAAATCTGTCACATGCACTTTAAGGAGATTATATTTTGTTAATTACAAAACTGAAAATATTAAAATGCAGCTTCAGAAGCAGAAGTACCACAAGATAACTGATACCACCACAAGGAATGACTGTCTCTTTACTCATGCCTGACATAAAAAGTCATTTGTTATTCTTACCTGCTTTACACAATCACACCAAGAAATCCTTTTATTAATCCAAGTAAACAGTTACTAGTTCTTGTAACCCTGCAACTGGGCTGCCATTTCCAGCACTGTCTTGTTAAAAGAAGTGACATTTATACCAATTTTCACAGCATGTTTTGACACTGTTATTCCACTTCCTTGACCACTTCAAAATGAACCCACAGATATATTTCAAACCTAGGATTATGTCAAATGCATTTCTCTAGGATTTATCTAGAAGTCTATTATTTCAGCCTCAGTTTGTTGGACCAAACACTGTTTTAGTAGCTTATGTCAGTACTGGTGACTACCCAGAAGTGCAGGTTATTTGGGAAACAACATTGCATTTCAATAAATACTTTTACAGAGGCACCACAGTTTGACAGCATGTTATTCTTCAACAGCATGTTATTTCAGGAGTATTTGAGACCCAGAAGTGTCATAGTGTGCTTGAGTGCTGTTTCCTCTACAAATCTTGCATTTACATGGTCTTGTTTTTCATATGGATGCACACCTAGAAAAACATGGTGAGGAAGTATTTACAAAATTGTACATGCTCCTGTACACTTATAGTCCTGCTGTCTATTAAACATCTTCATCTACAATACCAAAAGATAAGGGGTAATAGAAATGTGTTTTCATGCACCCGAAAATACCTACAGCTTTCAGTGGTGCCCTTTGGATGCTAATCTGTGGCAAAAACTATCCTGTTAGTGGGATGTAAGTAAATTATAACCCACAGAGAGTGAGGCCTCTCCAAACTGGAGATCCAAACCCAGCTTGAAGCAGAGTGGCTGTGTTGGTGCTAGTCCATGAACTGGCCCAGGGCACGTGCTCATATACTGCTACATGGTTTAACTTCTTCTTCCCCAGACAGGATGATACCCATACATGGATGCTCTCAGCCCCTGACACTTTCCATCAGCAGAAAGATCACCAAACCCATGTGTTCAACAACACTGGAGTGTTAACAACTCAGTATGTCAGTACAGGCAGGATGCATCTGAGTGAGCATCAAAGGGTAACAATCACTGGTCTTCCAAAGTACAGAATTAACACTACCTTGATTCTCTATCTCTGCCAGCATATTAGTCAGGTAGTTCAGTGGCAAAAACTCCACGGGGACGGAGAGTCTCTCAGGGACAGGCCTGCTGCACTGCAAGGGAGAACATTCTGTGTTACTTCACAAAGTCACACGGATGCACCAAGGTTTCAATGTTTCTTTAGTGTGTTACAGTCCACAGAAAGCTCAGGAATCTCAACACCATCAAAACATAAGATTTTAAAACAGCCTCTGTGCTCTTACCTGCCCGTTTCCCAGCTTCTCGAGCAGAAGTTTCACATATTTCCGTGCCATTAAATTTGCATTTATCGGATGATTCCAGTACTGCCGGACCTTTTGACCAAGAGCCTAGTAAGCAAAACACAAACCCCAAAACCTGAGAACATAGACATAGGACAGTGGAAACTTAGAAAGATGAAAAGGGAGGAAAAGCTGACATAAAATCCAGGCTGTAATGCAGATGTGCTTTGCTTTCAGACCCCAATGGCTAAGAGGTCATCATGTTTACCCAGGGAGCCTTCCTTTCATAGCTCTCAAAATGTGGCAAATCAAAACCTCACTGCTCAGTCCTCACCTCAGTTGATCTGTCCCAGTGCCACTGTCCCACGTGACGTGTACTTAAGTACTAATTGAACCTTTATCCTTTACTGTGATGGATTTGAATCTATTCTTTCCCTAAATAATAAAGTAGATGCCCCATTCCTCAAAGCTCCTTCAGGACAGGGCTTCTCAGGCTCAGTCTTAAGGAACCTTAGACAAACAGAACACTGGCAAGGAAGGATATTGGGAATGTAAGTTTGGATCCCATTATTCAGGTCATCATCTGGAAACTGTTAACATATACTCGATCCCAGAGCCAAAAGAAATTCAAAACCAGGTTTCCCAAAGCTTCCAATCCCAACCAATAAGCAAAAGAACAGGAACACACTGTGAAATTAGCTCCACCTTCTGCTATTTTCCCTGTGTAGATCTTCCCTGGCCCCTCCCCTTCAGCTGTACTGCAATGCAGACAGCTGTTCATTTTAGTAAATGCTGTACAGTTTAATGGTGCTTAAATCCTTGCTTCTGATTAAACTGAAGTCATCCACTGCATATAACCTGCTCAAAATAGTCTGAATCACCCCAAAGTGACCTTTCTGGCAAACAGACTATTCCCAGCATTTTTTCCCAAAGCTGTAAATAGATACAATAAAGCACTGAGGCTACTGTGCATAGCTAGCAGTAGTTGTTCCCTAAATCTCTCCCAGCTCAGCCCTTCACGTCAGAGCGTGGTTGGAATGGAGTTCCCCACGCACCAGGCCCAGGGCTGGCAACTCAGGGCCCCCATGCTGACCCCAGCTCACCAGCCCTGGTCCAAAACAAGACACAGAGGACAAAGAACATCCTGTGGAGTTCTCCTCCTCTACCCCTTCTCAAAACTGCTGCCAAATAAAGAAGCCTTTGTTGCAGGAAAACCCAAGTAGCACTTCTGGCCATTTGAACTATAAGTGACAGCACACAATGAGCAAACAATGGGCAACTCATATGGAAAAAAGCCTGTTCTGCAGTGAGGCATTCCCTGAGGGGGATCCCTGGTGTTCCTCTGCTTCTTGACATCTTGTGCTTCCCCTGCAGCCCTGTGCTGTGCACTAAGAGCAAAAGGGGAGAAGGAGAAATGCATCTCCCATCCTGCTGGAACAATTTATGGAGGATCAGTAACCAGCTCTTGTGGCTACACAAGTCACTTTGTCAGTGGGTGAGACTGTGAGGTTTAACTGAGGGGAGATCATCCCTACCACAAAGCTGTGGTATGATACAACTTTACAGCTTTTACTATACCAGCTTTTGAACATATTTTTTGAAGTGTATAGAACCAAACAGAGGTCACAAGTGAGACTCTGTGGATGCTAAAAAGCACACACAAAACCCCCATAAACCCCCTTTAAATAACCCTCATTGCATTATGCAAATGAGTACTCAGCAGAACAGTGTCAGTCTTGTTAAGTTCTGTGGGATACTGGAGACTCTGTAAAATAATATGGCCAAATCTGTAATTTAAGTTATCAGGGTAACCTACAGTCCAGGAGCAGCAGATGGAGAAATTATGGATGTTCCAGTTATATTTGAATCAGGCTCTATTTGAACCACAGCCAAGTCTTTCATTGGTTTGACCCTATGCACAAGGAGGAATTTCTTATCAATTCCAAAATCCAAGAAATTACATTTAAAGCTATTAGTTACCTCTGGAAGCCTCATGACAATACTAAACTTCAGCTTTTCATTCTGTTCAGTGTCATCCAGATCTATAAGCAACAGGGAAAAAAGCAAATCAAGCAAACAGTAATCACATAACAAACTTTCAACTTTCACTGAAGACATACTGAATAAACATCACCTCCTTAGTGAAATGAAAATTTCAGTTTAAAGACTATTATTTACATGTTTATCATGTGTACAAATATATTTCTGCATATTTGTCCATAACTTCATCATTTTATGTAACAATTTGTACTGTAATTCAAATGCACTTTGACTAAGTGCAACTCTCCAAGTTTATAATATTTATTTATCAAGATCAGGCACAGATTGATACAGCCTATTTTGCTGTCCCTTTTCTTGGACACTGGAGAAATAGCACATCACTGGGAATAGCTGGTTCATGTTCAGCCACCACTGACCAGCACTCCTTGGGCATCTTTGCAGACATTCTGCCCCAGCCTGTGATGCTGTGTGGGGTTGTTGTGACCAAAGGGCAGAACCCAGCACTTGGCCTTGTTGACCCTCACACAATCGACCTCAGCCCATCAATCCAGCCTGCTCATATGTGTCTGCAGAGCCCTCCTACCCTCCTGCCCAACCTGGTGTCATCTGCAAAATGGCTGAGGAAGAGTTTGATCCCCTTGTCCAGAACTTTGATAGAGACATTAAACAGGACTGGGCCCAATACTGAGTTCTAGAACCCCACTGGGGACCAGCCACCAGTGCTCCCATCCAGGCCATGATCAGTCAGTTTCTCCAGGAGAATGCTGTGGGAAATTGTGTCAAAGGCTTCAGTAAAGTCCAGGTAGACAACACCCAGAGCCTTTCCCTCACCCCCTGTGTGGGTCACTCAGTGACAGAAGAAGCCCAGGCTGGTCAAGCAGGACCTGCCTTTCACAAACCCATGCTGGCTGGGTCGGATCCCCTGGTTGTCCTGCACATGCCGTGTGATGGCACTCAAGATGATCTGCTCCATCAGCTTCCCCAGCCATGAGCTCTGACTGACAGGCCTGTTCTTCTCTTTCCAAACATAAAGCAAAAGCTGAGGGCTGGACAGCAGACCAACTTCCTTACACACAGGTGTGCACTTTCACAGAGTCACAGAAATTCTCCAACAAATCCTATGATGATCTTTAGTATTTGTTTTTCTAAGAAGTCTCAAGTGGAAAAACTACAAACACAAATTCTCTCCACAGAGATATTTCTTTGTGTGCTGTGGTAAGGCCAATCACATAGCCTGAGCCCTAACTTTCTCCTTTCAGGTAAGAAACACCATCATCTACAGCCCTCACTGAAACAAGGAGAGCTCTCTCTAAGGAGAGCTGAGTGTCCTGGGCAATAAAACCTGTGTCCAAGGGGAGTGGCTCAAAGGACAACACTCCCAGTTAGCTGGCTGGTAACAAATGAAACTGTTCACTGTACCTTTCAGCAATTTCCTGACACATGTTTCTGTCAGTTGCAAGATTCCATTGTCAATATAGTGCAGGAGGGTGTGCAGAGGGAGACATCGAACACCAAGACCCAGGTGCAGAGTGTGAAAACCTATGAAAGGGACAAACTTGTTTGGTACAATATGTAGCTTTTTCTAATTCTCTGTTCAAGGCTGGAATTACTCTAGCTAAAGCCATCACTTCCCTTGACTTCTGATTCTTTATAGTTGGTGAGGAAATCAATTTATCAAGTCAGGTAGTCTTATTTAGACATCCTTTAAGTCCTCTCAAGTACAATCTTGTCAGAAAGAAGAAAGCTAAGGGGATTGAAAACAGTCATTAAAGTCATACACTGGTCCCTAAATGTCTCCAAGCTGTTGCCTTATATCTGAATTGTTCTATTAATTTGTCTTTTATCTCCCCTCTCTCCTCCTAATTAATCAAAATCTGAGGCCTCACTACCCTCAGGATGTTGTTGCCACGAAGACACTGCCATGGGCAGCATTAATACTTCAGCTTTCCTTTGACATCAGCCTGATGATGATCTTGTTATCATGTAACACTACTGTGTGGCAGCATTTGTGCCCACACAGACTGAGGGACAAACTCATACCAAAAGCAGTTGCAATGACTAAAGACAGATCAGGAAATAAAACCCAGAAAGATTCAAACAGAATTGGCAAGCATTAAGATATTAAGACGTCAAGATGTCTTTCCCTAATGAAAATAAGCAAGTGCTTTGAAAATGATGTAAAGAATTAAGAGGAGCTCTAGGAAATTAAAATCTACTATCAACACCAGCTTTCCATCAAGGCTGGAAGTAATCCCTTCAGGAAAAAACTGAAAATTATTAGCAAGGCAAGATCATGAGAAAAAACACTATATCTTCTACAGGATAGGATTTTCCCTTGTGGCTCTTGACACTGAAGTCCAGTTGTCTAAATATATATATATGCAAGTGGAGTCTAAATCCTAATTCAAAGATAAGACTGCACCCACACATTCCACTGGAAACCTCTGTTTAGTTTTCTCTGTTTCTAGTAACTATTTAGTTTTGTTTCATTTCACTTGTAAAGGTTTGTCAAGAGCCTTCCCTCTATAACTGACTTGAACAGCTGTCAATACTGCCAAAGCTAACTTGACACATGTGCTGCAACCAGTGCTGTGCTGGGAGGAATTTACAGCACTGCTCTCCTCACTCAAGATTAAAACAGCAAAACACAGAACTTACCAGGAGGTAAAGGCATGCACATGCCATTTGCTGCTTCCAGAATCCGACTCATGATGTGGAACACCGCAAACTCTCCTGCACTTCCTCTCTCATCACTGAGTTAACAAAGTAGCAACACATTAAGAACCCGGGGCACCCACTCTCTCCTGGAGAGAGGGTCAATTTGGCACACTGGGAGTGCACTGAATGCCTGCCTTTGGGATGCAGGGCCATGGGATGCTGCCTTGTTTACCGAGGTGTCTGAGCCAGCACCAGCTGCCCAGTGCTGCAGACACAGTCTCTGTGGTGTCCCCATCTCCTCCCCACACTGATGCACATTTACAGGGCTCTCAGCAGTACATGGAATCAGCAGCAACAGGTAAAATGGTGCTGGTGTGAGTGACCTGGATATTAGAGGTGTTTAACACCCACCACCCAGCTTAGGACCACTGCAAACTCAGCAAGCTTGAGCTCCAGCCACAGCACTGCCTGTGTGGTTAATAGTCACACTGCCCTAGAGAGGGCCAGCAGGATCCTTAGGAAGAGTTAGTGACAGTAACATTGACACTGACAGCAGCATAAGCACTGACTGTTCAAAGGAGTACTACTGATGAAGACCAAAATCATTATGTCCATATTTTAAAAGGCAGGATAAAAACTTTAACAAATCACTTGCTCACAAGCAGAAGATACAGGAATGAAGCTGGTATCTCCTCCAAACTTCTTTCATTATTCGGTGCACCAGATTCAGCTAAAACAAAAAAAAAAGAAGACTGGATGTTTCCAGGAGCTTATGTACAGCAGGCTCTTGGCCTTCATTCATTCCACACACCAGATTATGTCAAAAACTTCTCAGGGGACTCCTACTGAGTCTTCAAATTTTTTCTGTAGGGCCTTAAAATGTAAAGTTATTAAAATTTGAATTGTAACAAATTGCCCTATTCCAGCTGTTTAAAGTGCTTCCAGCTTATGAAAGCATCATGCAAGACATACAGCAACTTAACACACTGTGCTTCTTGGAGATAACTGATCTCAGGCTCTTGCAGCAAATTCTCCAAGATCTGCTTGCCATGAAAGCAAAAACAGCATGTCCAAGTGGCTGAGCATTTGGCAAGGAACCGTCCCAAGGGCTCAGCAAAAGCAGATAACGTTGAAGACAGTGGAATGTTCAGTTTGCCAAGAAAAGTATGCAGGAGGAATCACAGATCTAGTCCTGGAAAGGAGGAAAAATGAGACAAACAAATGCCCCTCCTCATCTACTGAGTTTCCTTTTTGTCCCCAGTGAAGTGAAACAATCCCTTGGCCCATGTTGTTGCTCTTCGTGCTCCCAAACTGACGTCCACCACACACAGTCAGCATATACCAAAGCCACAAGCCCTGTTCTCACTTGGGCCTCCTCAGCTTCTGCAGCTGAAAGAGAAACCACACACGGAAGAGCGGAAATAACTTCCTCATGGTTGTCATGTGTAACCAGTTCCACATCTCAGTAACGCAACTGAGACACCTCCTCTGCCTTTTATCTCTGGCCCTCAAAGCACAGCAATCAATCAATCCCAGGAAACTCAGGAAACTAGTATGGCCCCTGTTCTGCAAAGAGGTGTCACAAGAAGTTAGGAACACTTTTCCTCCCTCCAGATGGTCAGAATCCAGGAATGCTTTTTCCCCCACTCTCTCTTCCCCTCATAGGCTTTGCCCTCTCCATTGTCTGACTCATCACGGGCTCTAAGCAAGAGAGAAACAGGACACACAGGAGAGATCTGCACGCAAAGGCCAGAACTGCAATATTCATCCTCAGTAATGTTCCCGAGTGTTCCTCTGTACCTTGGCCAGAAAGCTCTGCAAGGTAGCACCTTTCCCATCCACCACGAGTTGAGCCAGGCTTGCACAGCTGCCTGATGCAAAATAATTACCTAATTCTTGCCATCTCCACACTTTCTAGGTGCAATGGAAAGATCCAATTTAATCTTTCTGGAGCATAGCAAGTTTTCTAGGAAATGAGTGATTTCCAGTTTCCACAGAAGGGTCACAAGAACCACACCTGCTGCTGGAATGAATTTCAGTTCTGGCCAGCACAGAGAGTGCAGCTAAGGCCTCTGCATCAGGAGCTGCAGCTGGATCAGAAGGATCAGTGTTGAAGTCAAGGTTCTTACAAGCCTGAAAATCACCAATTATTATTTGTGCAACATAAATGGTTTTCAAGAGTGTGCTACTCCAGAATAAGCATTTTTTGCTTAACAACACAGCAAGCTGTACAGCTTTCACAGGGCACAGAAAGCTTAACTTCTTAAGTCATAATCATCCAAGCTATCACAACTTACTTGCATCTTGAATACATGAATGTTTGTGATGTGACACCCTCACTAACAGCACAACTCACTTTGGAGATCAACATCTACTCTTGGCATTGTAGAAAATGCATACAGAAAGATAACCCATGTCTTAATCTTTTTTTTTTCAGAACAAAACACACAAGATAATGTGCATGAGAGAAAGGCAGCATTATGTCTGATGGAAGGAGTACAGGCAGCTTCCTGTCTGAGGTTAGCAGTGGGTGTCTGGGGCAGCCAAGTTAAGAGCTACACTCATAGCAGGGGAGGCCATTTTTCCCTGAATAACAGACACAAAATAAGAAGTTTTTTGGGGCACATACATGAAGCCATTTCTCCTGAAGTGCTCTAAACTAACAAGAGAACACATGACCATCAGCAAGACAGCACATGCAGGAAGGCCTTGGCTGACAGTGCTGCCACCTTGTCTTGAAACATCTACAGTTCCAGACAATGGTGCCAAGGAAACTGAAGTTCCCCTAAAGCAACTGGGAACCACAAATGCTCAGCTCCCTTGGCTATTTCTACAGGAAAGACTTCAAAGCCAAAGAAAGTCAAAGAAAAGAACCAGGAGCAAAGGAGAAAAGGAAGTGAGACAAGGTCTTGCTGTCTTTCAGATCCCCTCCTGTGCAGTAGTATGAGAGTCTTCCTCCTCCCGAGGAAACTCAAATCCAAATGTTGTCTGTCTTCTGTTCCTCTGCAGTTGAGCCTACAGACATCAGGGGAAAATGTGCAGCTACTGCAGCGACTTGCAGAGAAATTCCAGTAGTTTATTCAGGTCTGCCTGTTTCCTGTGCCACAGACTGCCTGCTCACCCTGCCTTCCCTTCCGCTTGCTGTCAGGGCAGCAAATGTCACATTGCTTCTGTAAGTTATTTCTCTCATTTCTTGCCTCACTGAGTGAGAGAAACAGATGTGGAGCAAAGCTAAGGTAAAGTGATTGCAGAGGAGATGCCTATGGACATACAAGAACAACTGCAGGAAAGGTGACACATGGACTGGGAACCAGGCACACTCCAGCTTCTGCAGAGCTCCTCAGCAAAGAAGGAATTCCCACTGAGGTGTGTTATTCACACTTCCCCACTTTACTTCTCTGTATACAGGAACACACAGTACTCTGACAGCAACCAGCCTTTGCCTGTTGTTTTGTAAGAAACTCTCAGTGCTCCCAAGTTTTGGCTTCTCTGACTTCTTCTGCAATTGATTTACACAGTGACTACACACCACAGAGTCTAATCTCAGCCACTCCTGGGCTCCTGAATGTAATGTGAAATATTTTATGAAAGTAAACAGACAAACTTCAAGTCTCTTCTTGTTTCATTAGTTTCAATAGCTCTGCTACTCACTTCTGATGCTACAGAAGAAGTGCAGGGAGGCTCAAACCAGTTCATTCCCCTGAAGAACTCTGAAACATTCAGGATATGGAAAGGTTTGAGATGTAAGAGTTTCTAATTACGATGAGGGGAAACATAAGGTTAAAAATGAAATAATTTCTAAAGATTTCCAAACAGTGCCTAAGATACATCAGCAGAAAGCAGAAGCAACTTTTAGAGGCATGTTATCTTCACTTATAGTAGCTTTTCTAAGAACAAGCCTGTCAATTGAGTTGAGAGAATTAGTCCTGAGAGTTTTCTTGTGGGGAGGGCTGAGATTTGTTTTGCAAGATTTAGTCTGCAATAATTTAGCCTTGCAGATCAAGGTTGAATAGATGTTTTCACATTTTTTATCTTAGTTTTTACTAAAAGTGAACAAATTGTTATTAGAAATTGAATAAAAGGAGAACAAATGTTCCACTTGGGCTTTTTTCAGCACCATTTCCAGGTACAGAGCTTTGGTTCATGTTGTACTGTCTTATTTTAATCAACCACTAGTTTCAGTTTCTTTCCTACACAGATACATAAAAGTCTGCCAATTACCAGTGAAACAACTTGTGAAGTTGTCAAAGTGAGGCCTGAAAAGTCAGGAGCAGCAGTGGGGCTGCAGGGGTCCAGAGAACACTGTGACATTGACAGAGTGACTGACTCACACAGGACTTTGGAGGAGATGCAGGCATCAGTAACCTCAAGGAAGCTTCCCAAGGTTTTCATCCCTAGAAAACAGCACTGTGGGGAGCTTCTACTGAACACTGGCACAAAGAACAGGATTTACAGTTGCCATGCAAGCTTTTGAGCACTCTGCATTCTGCACTTAAAGGACATGATCTTGAGACAGACAAAACCAAGTAGATAAATTCTGTGCACAAGTTATGGTTTTTGTGACTTTTTTTTTTTTTAAAGGTCTCAAGAGGATGAAAGACAGAAAAATAAGAGTTTGGAAAGCAAATTTTCATAGTAGTTTACAAAGATTTCTTCATGCAAAACTGTCTCCTGAACCACACATAGCCCACTGAAGGCACTGTGTAGGAGTGGTGGTGATTTACCCACATGTCAGATTGTAGTGACATCTTTTTTTGTTCATTTTTTATTTCCCTTGGTGGCACTTTGATTATTCAAGACCTGCAGCAATGTGTTCTACAGGAAACCAAATGGATCTAACAGCTTTAAACTTTCAGGATGAGTTCTCATTTTATTTCTGGGAGTAGAATATATTTGCACAAGCTGTAAATGGAAACATTTCTTCTGTATTTTGAGTGACTGGTACAACTTTTTAAATAATATTTAAATAGTATTAATTTTCTTTATCCATTTATACAATATTAGGCTGAAAAATATATTTAAATATCTTAAAACCCACCAAATATATGCTACATACAACTGGTACACGCCCAAGGACCTACAATCCAACAAATACATACTTGCTCACAATAGTGACTATGAAATCAAACTAACCAGGTTTGCAACATAATCCAAAACTATTTGGTCAATCTTCTTTTTGCCAATATATTGTAGATGTCTCATAAGGTGATCCTTCAGCTGAGCAACCATCTAGAAAAAAAAGCCAACAATTTGTTGTTGTTGGGCATCTTCAAAGAAACACAAAAGCTGCAGCAGGTTCAGGACCTGATCAATAGGCACTGACTCAACAAAACATTTCCCCATTACAAAACTCCAGTTCAGAGTGAGACCCTAAGCTGCTGTACAATCTCCCTAAACTCATCAGCAGATGTGAATATTCTAAATGGTTACTTGGTGCAAATTCAGCAAAATTAATATTAAGCTGAACTTTCCATGATACTGAAAAGAAAAAGCTTACAGTTCTCACACCTCTCTGTGCAAAGCCAAGGAAACTGGATGAAAGAAGAATTTAAATATAACATTGAATTCTAAGAATATAAGTACTTAGTACAAACAAATGTACCCGAGAGATTTTATGAGAGAGAAAACTAGCAGAGGTACAATTTGTGGTAGTTGCCAAGAACCTGAGAACCAGAGTGATTAATAGCAATTTCAGGTTAAACATTAATTGTGAAGTCATTAAAGTTGGGTGTTTGTTAACATACAGTCCATGCCACTCCCTACTCTCTCCTTTCTGAAATATTCGCTGACCTCATGTAGCTTCAGATTGCAACTCAAGTCCATGCTGGCTCTTTTCTGAGAGTTACTAAGAAGCTCAGAGTGAAACTGGAGCAAATAAAAATTTCTGTCTCAAGGAACTTATATGTAGACTAATCTCAGTGTGTCAATACAGTAATACAGGTATGAGGAAGGCATAGACAAAGTGACCTGCTTTTTGGATCTGTCTGAATAAACAGAGGGGAAGGAATGTAGAAAAGCTGCAGAGAATGAAAGGCAAAACTTGGAAACAGGAAGACTACTGCAAAGAAGGAAAATTTGACTCAGATGTGAACAGACAGGACAGTGTTGATCTGCTCTTCACTGTTGAGACCTTCTAGAGCATGCTGGAGAATTAGTTTATTTTAAAAGTAAGAGAACAAAAGATAAGCCAAGATATGTATTAAGACAGAGGGAGGACAGGTAAGAATTTGAGACATTTATTGAATTTGAGAATTTATTGCCCAGAAGCATATAGATGGTATATCCTTTAAGGAGATCACTGGCAAAAACAGTGGAAAAGAAGAAGGAACCTCAGAATGGCCATAACAGTCTCAGAAAAGAGGTAGAAGGAAAAAGAAACAGTAAAAAAGGTGTTAAATTGAGGAGCAAGAAGATCTCTGTTCATCAAAATGAGAGAACGGAGCGGGAGGAATTCACTTATATATGTTTCAAAGGCATAAAGTAGTCCAGAAATAACTGACAGATTAAATGACCTCCCGGTTTCCAGCCAAAGTTATATTGGGAAAAAGCATTTTGAGAAATCAGTTTTCTATTCCTGTTTTTCCCCTATGCCTCACAATAACCTGCTAAGATAATATCATGATGATGAACTCTAAAACTTAGGAAATGCCATGTTTGCCCCATAGCTACCCTGAGTGAGCTTCCACTCAGCACTGGAACTGGGAAGGTCACTCCTCACATCTGTGGAGCCTGTGCGTCCTCTAGTGCACACTGACAAAAGCACATACCAGTCCCATGAGCAACTGCTGCTGATAATCCTCCTCTTCAAAGAGAGGTACCAGCCTTGCCTCTGAAACAAACAGAGCAACAATCATTCAAGAACACAGCACTCCACAACTATCACAAGAATTCAGTCAGCTTCAGAAGTACTTAGGAGCAGAGAAGCAAACAGAAGCTGTGGTTTGACCTACTCAGCTACAGAACTAAGACACTGAAGAACCATGGACTGAATAAGAAAGAGAACTGAAAAATGGAAAATAATCCTTTGTCTGCCATCCACTTCTTCTTCTCTTTGATATTTAAGTAAGAGTTATCACAGTCTGCTGAGAGCAAAGAGGCAGAGAGAACTTTCTGGTAACACCAGCGCTAATGTGCTACTTAGATCTTGTCATTTACAAACAAACTCTAGCAGCTGCGTGGGTTTTCCAAGAAAACGGCTAGACAGAAAGCAAATAGTTCAGGGAATCACCTCCCACTGATTCTCACCCGTGATCTGATTGCTTCTGTTACTCACATTTGTAGACCACTATGAAAAGAACACAACTTCTCTAACTAAATGGAAGGAGATTACAGTGTCTGCTGAAATTAATAACCTGTATTTCCTAATCAGTGCTTCCTGTCTACTGAAACAAAGGAAGAAAGCCAATCATCTATTTCATGATACAGATAAAACCAACACAAGATTTTATGGAACCAAGTGCTGAAGTCTTTCAAAATTTTCACCTGTTTTTGCTCACCTTCAAATATATTTACACCACCACTTAGCAGCACAAAGACCTGTGCTGATTGATTTTAAAGGACTCAAGGACAAATCTACAGGGAAACACTACATAGATGCTTATTACTGGATGGCAGCTATTTAGAAATTATCTATAACATTCAAACATCTGACTTCTTTATCAATAAGCACCTTTGAAAACACGAAGCTGAGGTTCACAAAGTTGATACGAAGTCTCTCAAAGTCAGAGCCCATTGCAAAAAGTAGCAGTGACACAGATGACTGCTGTCAGGGGCTGGAAATGAGTACACTGAAAATTCTTGGTAATAAAAGGACCAAGCAGCACTTACATGAGCATCATGTCACTGCACACAGTGGCAGGGCACATAGAAGGAAGGCACTGATGTGTGAACAGCAGGAACATGATACCCCACTAAATTCAGTTTTACTTATTTGTGACAGAGGAACTGAGCACCAAAAAATCTCAAGTGTTTCTGGCCTAAGGAAACTGCTCTCTCTACACCACGTTTTTTCACCAGCCCTAATCTCCTGTACAGGTTCTGATGTTGCAAAGGCAGCTCCAAGTGGACAAGACTCAACAGTAACATGGTGTCATTGATACTCTGCTCCACAAGAAAAATCCTGAAGATATCCTTTAGCAGACCACATTTTATTGCTTATGTTGTTAGATCCAATATGAACTAGGGACTTTATTTTCAAGCATTTCCTAGTACATGAAAATTTTCTTCTCATCTTAAATTCTCAAACTCTTCTGTGCTGAAAACACACCTAGCAACTGATTTTTAGCAAACAACAGCTGGATGGAAATATTCTAGTAAATCTAATTCTTACAGCTAAGGCCTACATCAAGAAAAGTTTCACTTACCAGAGTCCCAAGTGTCCAGATGAGAAAGCACCCTGGGGTTTGAAACCAAAATCAGTGTGCTTCATATGCAATACTCTAAAGGCTTTCATAACATCATTAAAAACTCAAATGAACTTTTGATCTTTCAAAGATGGCTAAAGACATCTGAGAACAGTACATGTGACTAAATGTAGTAAAAATACTAGATAGCATTAAAAAAAATTCTATCTGTCTAGGTTGCATGAGAATGACTTCACATCTACCATAAATTCCCTAGCTCTAGAGGCCTGTATTTCAGATCATGCTGTAGTGATTACAAGGATTCCAATAACTGATTTTCATCAGGATAATCTTCTTTAAAGATAAGAAAGTATCTTCTAATCAGATACTAAAAAACTAATTAAATGGCACATTAATTCCTCCAACATATTTGTTCAAAATAAGAAGGGGTAAATATAATATAAACCAGTACATACTTTTTGGCATTTTCAAAAATATTCCTCAAATATGCTGTGGTTCTTCTCTCCTCTCTCTGGTTTGGAAAACAAACAAAAATCCCAAAATGAGCAAAACAGAAGACCAAATAAAATACTCCCTGACAGAATAAAGATCACAAATTAATCTGATTTTCTCTTTGAATGGAAATAAAACACAGTGGGGCCTCACACCATCTTTCAAGTGCCTGTGCTCTCACACACTCACACATGTAAACCTTGTGACAATACAGAGCAAGCTCTGCTTTTCTTTAAATTCTTGCATTATTTTAAGAGACAAAACTTACAGGCAATGACCTTAGGAGAAATGACTGCAAAAGTCTTTGCATTTCTGATAATCAGATTCCCATTTATTTATTATAAAAACGCCAACTGGTCCATGCTTGACTTTAAAGCACCCATTTCAGAGGCAGCTCTGGAGGGTTCCAGTGTCTCAGCTCCAGTGCCTCTCACTCACCTCTTCCGAAAGGTTACGCCATTCCCTCCTGAGCCCCTTACTGTGGTAGTGCAAGTGCGGCTCTGCATACTTCACACTCTCCAAGTTTGAGTTGAGTTTCTCCCAGAAGCCTTTGGAGTTTTGGAACTGCAGGGTTGCAGAGAAAGCATGAATATAGATTGCTCTCTTAAAGAAATACCTCATCACCCTCCCACTAAGTGACTGCAAAGACGTGATTAGTCTAAAAACAATCTAAATGAAAAAAGTTAAACCAAAGCAGCAAAACTAATTTCTCTTGATGGAATGGCACTTACTTGACTTGAAATCAAGATTTGGTGCCTGGAAAGGAACAAGTATTTCTGGGTCACAATTCATCTGACCTATTTACATGTTTGAGATGGGAAGAACTGCACCACGGACTACACTGACCATATTGTCTAGACTTCCTCTGACTGTAAAAAGAGCCTTAGGCTACTAACTTAGATGTAAATGTTTACATTTGGTCAAATAAATCCCATTTGAGGTTTCTAGTAGTTCCAAAGAGAGGAACACCACCATGGCCACGACAGCTGCAGGATGCCACTAGTTTCAAGCTGCATTAATGCTTAGATTGCAAACATCCATTTACCAACCCCAAGTAACAGTGCTTCATCCCAGAAAAGAAACAAAATCCAACAATTTCCATAGCAATTCTAAAGCATTTGACTCTAATACTAAAATTAATCTAAACCTGGCTGTGAACAGACAGGAGGATCAAAATCGAAACAAAAGCACAACAGTTTCCTGAGCTACTTCTTGGACTGGGTATAAAAATTTGAAGCCACTGTTTATAAGGGGGGCAAGATGCAATGGGGGGCATTGCTGAAGAAGAGATGAGATGAAGGCAATTCTTTTTGACAGTTTTAAAAAACAAGAGATGCTATGAGCTGTTCTTGCCCCTCTTAACATACATTATCTCCCAAGACAGACACTACAGTAACAACATTTGAATAAAGAGAGCTGTGAATTCACAATATTCCTCCACTTGTTAGTACATACTGGATTTTGCTCTCTCCTCTCAACTATCCTACAATAACAATAACCTTAAAAGAAAACCTCAAAAGGAAGAAACCACTTCCTACTATAAACTATAATTTGTCAAGGAAAATAAATTTCAAAGACTCAATCCTGCCAGCCACTTTCCTCTTGCTGCCAGTGCCTACTGTCACTTTATTATTGTAACTGCAGCAGAGAAAATAAATCTTGGGTTTTGCTTCATATTAGTTATACTTAGCAGCTGCAAACTAGGATCACATATGGCACCATATGTTCACTCTGTTGTACCTAACCCATGTGATCTACAACCTACTACTGCAGAATGTTGCCTAAATGTTACCAATATGAAATCAGAGAAATATTAAATACAGCATAAGGGTATCATCTAGTGACCAATCCATGCAACAGCACTACCACTGCAGAACTGTGTTCAGGCCACACTGGATGTGGATATGTGGCAGGGGGAAGCAAGACAGTAATTTTCTTTCATATAAGAAATCTTTAACAGGAAGTGGTAGGCTTGAGTGTTATCTGCTTTTAATCCCAAAAAGATGCATTGTATTGAATCTCATTAAAAAGCCGAAAGTTTAAAGTAAAGGATTTTTTCAATTAAATCTACTATTTCTTGAGGATTATCAGGGCAAGGACTAAAAAGACAAGGGTTCTTCATCTTAGGTATTTATTTGGGAGACGTTTCTAGAGAGTCAAGAATTAACACCAAAGCATGACACTTAAAAGGCATTGTATTCCCAGAAGTCAAAGCAAGGCCTTACCAGTTTGCAATACATGAAAAGCTCCCATGAAGCCTTTCATAAGTAGTGGGTTTTTAACTGAAGATAGAGAGCTCTCTGCTAACCCTTTGGAAAAGATGTAGGGTGACAATTGCCTTCAAGAGGCCCATGCCTCTCAGGACTGTAGTGCTGTGTCTCCCCAGCAGTGATGGCATTCAGAGAGTGTTGTAAAGCATCACTCTGCATCCCTGGGGCTCAGCACAGCACAAGGGAGAAACTCTTTCCTGGGGCTCTGACAATTTCTTGCACTATATATTTTCACTCTTCCCCTGGACGTCCTCCTATTCTTTATTTTCCTTCTTCCTTCTTTCCAATTTAACTTATTTATACCCTGCAAGTTTGGTTTGTGCTTAAAAAGGGAGGAAATTAGACTTATTGATTGCAATCCTTATGTGGTGCTTTTGGACAATAAGACTAACCATTCCCTCTTTCTCAGTGCATCTTGATGAACAAGAATTTAGTGATAAAAACACCGGATACCCAAACAGAGCAATTTTTTAATGTGAATATGGATATAGCCCTCCCAAAAGCTCTCAACAACACATGGACTTGAGAACTCCAAAAAGTTCTCAAAGTAACAATTAACCATGTCATAAAATCTCTGCAACAGAAATACTACTCGTAGAACCAGATCTGTCACCAGGGTCTGACTCCTGATGCTAACAACATGCACCAACTGAAACACCAGCTGACCACTTAAACTCAAGCTGTGGTGGGTTTGTGACACTGGTGTGGTACAAAACAGCCACAGCATTAAACCTTACCCTGTGCATTAGCATCTTTGTCCTTATGCAAGAGTCACAGCAATTTGCCATCAAAAGTAGCAGGAAATATTTGTCTTTAGCTCAACTCTGACCTTTTCAAGCTGTTTAGGTTTCAGACAGAAATAGGAAATGAGTTCCACAATCAGGAAGTATAGCTGCTAAAGGCATGTGCCCCCAGAGGCTTGAGGTTCAATCTCAGACAAATTAAAGTCCTGCTAACTTTGACCTCAGTGAATTACAGGGATTATCTGCACACAAATTTTCTCAAGATGTGATTTTCCCAGGTGTCCCAGTTCCCAGGGCAGCCTTTCCAAGCAAAGCCATGCAAAGCCCTATTCCCTGACAGCAAGCCTGTGAATCTGTGCAGTGCAGCTATGATGCTCTGCTGCAGAGTAAGAGAGCAGGGGGAAATTTCACTGATTTTTAAAAGGTTTTGTGAACAGTGATGCTTTATGACTAATTATAAGCACATCTTTAAAGAGCTACATGGAACAACATTGTCACGTATCCAGAGTCTAATCCTATGTGTTGCTGGCATGTCTAAACTTCTCATTCTTCCCCTTAGCTCTCCACAAGAAACTGCTTATTAAAATTCTCTTTCAGATCTTGTAGGGGAGTGCTTAGGAAAATTTCAAGAATTTCTCTGAACTGGAGCTGAGGGAGTGGAATGGGAAGACAGGAAGAATCATTCATGTTGTTTTCAACGGAAAGTACAATTTCCTACCCAAACAACCTACCCTGCTCTCCCCATACAGCCCACTGCCCTTTCCAGGCTGTGCAGGAATTTGTCCAGATTTAGTAGTCAAAGCCCTGACATAAGTGCAATCACAGGATGCTCTGGACAAAACAGAGTGAGAGGGTCACAAACCATCCACACCAATGGCAGCACAATGAAATAGCCATCAAAGTGGGCACATGTAGACATGTGTAGAAATCCTACTTGACTGTTATGCCACCTCTGCCTTCAGCTACCAAAGTCATAAAGTGAAGTGGTATGAATCTGATTAACAATTAATTAATCCTCCCTGTTGAATAGTGGTATCTTCAGAAAGGGAAGAAAACCCCACCATCTTTGAGTCTGATTAACTGATATTTAGTAAATAAATCATTTCCAACAAAGCAATTTCCTGTTCACATCTATTTTTGGATAGGGCAGTGGGGATACTGCTGCATTAATATTTAACATGCCCCCAATCCACAAAAAAAGCAACTACTAATCTGAAAATACAAATATGGTTTTATACTGGAACTTACCTCTAACACAGGTAGAGAAATAATGTCTGTGGCACATATTACTCCAGGGACAACCTATAAATACACATAAATTATTTATAGTCTTACAATTTAGCATAGAACATGGGGCATCTAAACGAATCTCCATCCCCATTTCCTCCAGGAAACTAGCTAGCTAGTCAAAACTGTGCCCTTATTTTTTAAAAAAAGCAATATATTAGAACAGTGAGACAGCAGAGAAATTAAGACACTATTTGCTCTAACTGTAAAGTCTTGCTGGAAGTTATTTTACTTCTGCAAGCTTACTTGTAAATCTTAACTCTACTGATTCTGTTTGACCTGAAAATAACTGCATGATTGTGCTGGTTAAATGTATTTTGTATTCATTATAAACCTCACATGATAAGGAATAAAAGAATACTTCATTATGAAAACTGAGATATTTGACTGTCCATTCAATTATAACTGTTCCTGGTTTTGCAAATGCTTTTATTTGTTGACAAAAAATTTGACTCATGGAAAACACTACAAAGGGTAAACGTTGGCAAACTAAAACAGGCATAAAGCACAGGCATAAAGGTATCAATTTGGAGCATATCTATGAAAAGGTAAGACACACAAGCTTATGGGCTACAGGCAGTACTAAGGGATAAAAAACCAGACCCTCTAGCTATTAATTAAAGTACCAGCTGTTATCTCACCCCAATCCAGTCATGCAGTGATGTGTAGGGCAGGAGTTTATCCAGGTTCTGAGTTTCTGGACACATTCTGCAGTACAGGGAGGCTGAATGTAATGTAAAAAGATTTATAAGGACAAGATTGTATAAACTATCAGTCAACAAGAGTAGGCTTCACTGTTCCTTATCTGACACTCTTTTAGGGACAAATCCTGCTGCTGTCTCTGAAACAGCTTCCTCCATTGTGGAACTGGTCCCATTCTGTGCACAAAAGGAGGAAGAGAAGTCCAGATGGCTGCAGGGCTGGGTCAGCTGCTTGGCTACAGCTCAGCACTGCAGGGGTCCTTTGTACAAAGACTCTGCACTGGCTAGACTGAGAGACTACCTATTAGAAGAGAGTGTCATGATAAGCCAAATCCTTTTGAAAAAAATGGTTTGGGCTAGAGCTAGAGGAGAATGGAGCTGAGGAGACAATCTCCAGAGACCTAAAATAATGATAAATCCATTTGTTCCATTAGACAGAAGAATGCATTTGAAAAGTTTTTACTGCCAATCTGATTTTGAGATGTCTGTGTATCTTCTAAACTACTGATACTGTCTCTTAATGCCACAAAACGCAGGTTAGTAATACAAATCATAACCAAAACGTTCAGAAATAAAAAAAAGTTTGCACTGCCATGGCCTCTCTTTAGTGTCAACTGGAGTATGCAGGAAAACTCAGAATGCAGGAAAAGAAATACCTACCAATGATAAATTCTTGAATGGGGTTAAAAGAATGACATGTTGACAGGTTCTCAGAAATCCACCGAATAATCTGTCAGAATGAGAACAGAGAGCTTGTCACATCTCTCTGTTTAATCAAGTGTTGTAAGAGAGTATAGAAAATTTGGTTTTGGTAGTTAACACTTTGCATGGAGTAGTGATAGAGACATAAGTGTTTTCAGGACAGACTGGACTGATAACAGGGTTTAGGGAAGCCCAGCTGATGAGCCTCTTGGCACTGCCAGGTGAATTGGGATCTCTCTTTGGCTGATGCCATTCATGCCCTGCTCCTGCTTTGTACAAGAAGTCAATCACTGGAAAAAAATTTAGAGGAGGTTCTTTTCCCACCTGCATTTCCAAGTCTTCTGTGTGCTGGAAGTAGAGCAGGGCACAATGCAGAGCTGCCAGTCTCTCACAGTCTCGTTTGCTCTTCTGTAGGAACTGCAGCAAGGCACTGTCACTGATGCTCACATCATACAGACTTCCTGCATTGCAATCCAGGACTGCTGACACCCATGGGGACCGGATGGAACAGTTTTGTAATGTGTCAATTCTTGCATCCTCACCTGAAGAATATTGGTTTGAGAACAAAAGGAGTAAGAACATAAAATTTACCTGCTACCAGTATTTCTCCTAAGATTCCTAGGCCCCAGCAGTAAGAGTCTGCCTCTTGCACTGCCTGCCCTGGTAGTATATACTGAAGAGGAGTAGGAATGGTGCTGGCTTCATAAAGAAAGCAGATAAGGAGCACAGTCCATATTCAGTTCTCTCCTTCCCTATTGCTGACACAGAGAAGGTGTAGAGATTTCAGGCTCACAATGCTGCAATTTTGAAGGCAAATCAGAGTATGTGATGGAACAGAGCAGAGCACAAGGACAGTAGCACAAGTTCAGCACTACAATTAGCACCTATTGGTACAGCTTGTGCAGGTCAGAACTGCTCACGTGCAGAAGCATGGTGGATCTCTTGCCATCAATCCAAATGGCCCTTGCATCAGAGAAATCAGACCCACCATCCAGCAGTGATGCTTCCCACTCATTTTTAGCAGGACAGTATTTCATTACACATACAAAACAGGTATTTGCTTCCTATGACACTGCCCCTGCGCCAATTTTCACAATTTATGTCCCCTTCACCCAATCAGAACAACAGATTTCTGTTTTCAAACAAAGGCACCCCACTTCCAAAAATAAACCATTTCCCACAAAGACGTGTTTGTTGGAAATGCGTTGGAAATGAAGTAACATGCATCTCAGATGAGACCCTAAATTAAATTGCATCAGCCTGATCAGGTGAAGGAAACACAGATTTCCTTTCCCCACACCCTCCAAACACACACATTTAGAGCAACTCAATTGGAGGAAGGAAATGTAAAATCAAATTTACATCTCATGTGAAATTAGAAAACAGTGGAGGACCAAGAACCATGGGGAAAGTTGGGGGAAGGGAAACTATGAAACCAAGGCAGAGAATTTCAAATTCAGTGAAAGGTCTTCTTCCATTTCATAACAAGCAAGAAGTATGAAACACAAAATATGAAATGCCAGTTCAGCTTCTCTTTCTAAAATGGAAAGCAGCAAAAATGTCATTCTTATTTTTTCAGTATCCTTCCTTTGTCAGAACACTGTGCAATAAGGAAACATTGAGAAATACAACTTCCATGTAAAGAGATATGAACAAGTTTCCACAACAACAATTAAATTACTTAAAGCAGTTTTACTATACCTGTCAGAAATAAACTATAGCACAGCATGTCAGGATGTTGAATGTTCAGGAGGTGCAGGAACTGGCCAGGCAAATAAGCAGCCACATAATAGTCTATTTAAAGAAACAACAGTGGTCAATTTAGCACCTGATCACTTATTTGCTTTAAGAGGCTCTTTCACATGATTCTCAACTTGGCCCACTTCTCTGTGAGGAATTGATTATATCTAGGAAATATAAAATGAGTTAATTAAAAGCTGCTGTTGTATTAACACAGGAAACGCTAGCAGTACATTTGGGTTTCCAAGGTAGGATTCAAGAAACTTGAGATACTCAAGAACTCAGCAACTGGTGTCCAGCACAGATTTTGAGGCAATTTCAGAGGAAGCTGCTTACTAATCGTGAGGCATTGCAATATCAAGTGCCAAATACAAAAGGCAAGCAGAAGAAAAGCAGCAAAATAACACTGCTACCTAAAGCCAAGGAAAAAAAAATCCTTTCCTTCCAGAGAAGAGTTAGCCATTTGTCTCTGTACTACACAGAGAATGGCAATCACACAGGAGAGTAACACAAGTAACCTACCAAGATTCATAAAAGCCACTTCCTTGAATTGATGAGATTTTGTTCTTTCCAGAGAAACTGTAAAAGTTTTGTTGTAACCTGAGGGGAAAAAAAAAACTTTAAAAACCTCAAACAATAAACACCACTTGTTACAATCCACCTACGACTTTATAGCTAGAAACTTCTGCAGTTCCCATAGACCCAAACAGGGATCTTTTAGCCTGCTTTATGGGTTGTCTGCACAGATAGATTTAACCCATCCTGAACTGAGTTACTGCACGCTCAGTAGACTGGCAGCTACACAATGCAGTTCTTTAGTGTGTGAAAACTAGCCTTGCACTGCACACCCTACATTTGTGTTTAAAGAAGCACTCCATCCCAGAGCAAGCTTGTGTAAAAATACCTTTGCCTCAGAAAAACCCAAACGCAAATCCTTCATGTAGCTGTGTTTCACATTTTGGTGATCTTTCAATTGCTTTAAAGAATTTCCACTTTGCTTATCTTCACACTTTGTTGCTCTAATTTAGTTCAGCTCAGTTTATACAAAGGCCAATTTCAGACTTGCTGTGTTTGCATGGGCCATGCATCAGCACAGCTGTTGTTCTAATCTAAACTTGTACCACACTGCTGGCACCCAGTAAGAATGACACAATGCCCTCACATTTCCTCTGTATCTGAGAAAAGCTGAAGATTCTAGTAACTAATGGTATCATGATCAGACTTAATAATGCATGGAAATTCAATATAAGATCCACAGTTTACAGGGCCACCAAGAGAAAAATCACCACCAGCAACACTACAGAGGCAGTGGTGTCAAAAGATAATAGTTTTTCATACAAAATACTGACTAAAGTTAGCTTGCAATGAGTCAGTGTACTCCCCATCACCACTTTGTCACTTGCCAGCATGAGCACATGTAAGCTAAAACCAGCACTGCAGAATTCAACTGCAACATCGTGACTTCTCTGTTTATGCTGCAGTGACTGTTTTAGCAGGGGTGGGAAGCTTCCAGTCAAGATTACAGAGGCTGCAGAACAAACTGAGCTTCTTAAATGTCTTCCAAATATGGCTTATGGACTCCAAAATGTCAGTAATGGACCCAATATACCACCACTTCTGTGGGTCACTGCAGGATCATTATTAAAATTCTCTTGTACAACTGATGAATCTTACACAAACCCACAAACAGCTCTGTACCAAACAATTCCATTCCATTTCCAGAGGTCATTTCAGACTTAGCTAGTCAATGTCAATATTTATCCTCAGTTTCTTGCTAGTACAGATGAGGATGTACAAGGGCCATGGTTGGCTCCAAGCAATCCAACAACTCTTTGGCTACACATCAGGTGTGTCTGGGGAAATCAGCCCTTCGCAGCAGCGCAATGCACAGTGTGTCACACCCCAAAAGGACTTTTTCCAATTTGTTAATGCCTTCAAGAACACAAAAAGGTAGTTCACTCAATCCCACAATATTCCAGCAGCAAGCAATGTGTTATGTACAGCTCTGACATATGGGAAGCATCCTGACACAAGAAAGCAAACAGTTAAGGTAGAACAGAGACATAGAGTGCACTTGAACACAGTTACTCCATCCTATGCCGCTTCTCAGTTGAGAAATAATTTGCCCCTCTGTCCATGTATCAAATAAGAAAATCTTGATAATAAGAACTTTTATTCTAATTGGAATAAAACAATGTCCTTTATTATTTTAAAATGAAGGTCTTAACTTTAAGAGCTAGAGCACCATTTACACAGCAACTATTCTTAGAGTCAGTGGGTGTTGCACCTCTTGCTGTGAAAATGACACATTGAACTGGAATTCTAAACAGACATTCAAGCTAAGAGCTGTTGGCTCTATTTCCCATACAAATGCCTTATGGCATAAGTACAACACACCTGCAAGCTCCCACAGATTTCATTGATGTCTGTGCTCAGCATGCCGGAAAGTCTGGCTAGAAATAAGGGACCAAATTAATAACCATTTACAAGGCCACTGGTTTGAAGCTACTCACTCAGTATCAGGCAGGAAGCCTACAGCAGGAAAGCCAGCTCTGCAGCTAAAGGCAGCTGCTGTCTTGAAACACCAGCCACAGTAGTTTATTGTCTGCAGCTTTGGTAGTTATTTGTTTTGAAAGGCATTCTCTGACTCTTTCAGCACAGTGACATTCTCCACAATAAGGTACAGTAAGTTAACAAGTTAGTCTTACCTTTATGTAAAAAATATATGGAGTATATGATCTCATGAGGAATATCAGAGACTAGACTACAGCACACACACAAGCCTCCTAAAAAGACAAAATAGGGAAAGAAAATTCACTTGTCCAGCTGAGTATCTAGACATCTTTATACTGCACAAAACCAAATAAAGACTGTTTCAAATTAGAAACCAAAAATAATCTCTCAAAACCAGGGAATATCTATTATGGACTGTAATCATCATTTACCTAATGAAACAAAATCAAGAACGAACAGAGGAGGTAATCTGGCACAATGGAAAACTGGGTCCTGTCATGGCCAGTTCTTTCTTTTAGGGGAAGTAACATTTTAGCCCTTTCCAGGAGAAAACATGCTTGCAGCCAGAAAACTGATCAAGCCTTTCTCTCCACAAACTGCCTCAATCCAGATATTTTGTGTTCAGGAGCTGTCAGATATGCTCAACAACATAATAAAACAATATTTCTTTGCTTCTCAAGTAATCTCATATTGGCAGCACCATGAATACACTACCAAGGCTTTCTCACACTAGAAGTGGTAACCGCTTCTCCCCTTTCCAGCCCAAAGAACTGCTATTACCTTTTTTAGGAGAGAAGTCAGTCCTTGGGACAAGCTTATTTCAGCCAGAATACTGCATACAGGAAGGTTTCCCACTCCCAGAATAATTCTAGATCAGACTGATCCTGTTTTGACCCCACTGGATGGTAACCCTGCTTTCATCTCTTATAAAAACTTTAATCCCCTTACTCTGATGCTTTGGCTTTCATGTTAAAAACAGTTTCCAAACCACATTATCCCAATACAGCTGGGAAAGCTTGTCCACACATATGACCATTCACCTTTTACCTTTATTGGAAATTTATGATTTAAAAGAAGAAAATAAAGTAATGCTAATACAGGTATTGTTCTGTAAAAAATAAAAGGCTGTGTATACAAGTTATGCAGAAAATGGCACATTATGGAAAAAGCACAAGTACAAAAAAAGCACAGGTACCCAGTTACTTTATTTGATTAAATGCTTCAGTATTTCACACCACAAGGCTGTACCATAGCTGTGATACAGATATGGCTGAGATAGTTCATGCTTCTGCCTTCTGGGGAAGTTAACTGCTTTCTTAAGATGCAATTTTTCTTTCTGCTTATTCTTAGCTGACTGAATATGGTTTGATACAGTTTTGCTTGGATATTTGAGTCATTCAGACAACAGACAGGGCATTTTGCCAGAGCACTTGGCTTCTTTCAGAACATGCATAATTTTTAAAGTAGCAGCATCAGGACTCATGAGGGAGACTGGAGAAGTTCCAGCAACCCACTGGATTGCTGTTTTATTATCAACAGCTCCTTTCCAGCACTGCAAATTTCCTTCTTGTGTGCTGGAGTCTTCTGTGTACACTGCTCTGTAAATTGCACAACACGCAAGCGAGGCTGTTCAGACTGCAGTGTCAGCGGGCAATGTGCAAGCTGAGCACAGAAACAGCAGCTATGGGAGACTGTGAATAGGATGTGCATCTTTCAACTCAACAATATTGGTCCATGTGTCAACAAACCGAGCTCCAAACAAGCGGAAATAACAAATGGTGCTTTGTTAATACAGACAGAAACATGGCAGCCTCAGACCAACAGGTGTCCAAGCAAAGTTACATCTGACACAGTCCTGGCAATCCCAGTAGAGCAGCCAGAGACTGAGAATACACCACAGACTCCTTTCCTACCCTTAGCAGTGCTCTCTGCAAATTAGAGCTGGGTTGTGCTGCTGCAGGGAAAGCTTATTAGCTTATTGCAACTGTATGCAGAGCCAGGTCTTCCACACTACTCGTTTCAAAATCATTTCCCAACAGTAAAAGCTGTAGCTGAATACTGCAAGGTGAGAAGATTTATGTGAGGATATACTTGGATGGACACTTGTCTTTCCAGAAATAAAAGCGAAAAATATCTTGACCACAAAGGTCAAAAATAAATAAAGAGAAAATAAGGAAGAATTTAAAAATTAAGTTCTACTCCTATTCAGGAAACAGCAGTTACAACTCTGGCACTCGACAAAGTCAGCCCACTGAGACTGTAAGAGTCACCTATGATATGCAGAAATTAAGTTTTCCCTAGGAAACTTTAAGTAAATTCCTCATTTCTGTTTAAGCAAAAACTCAAGACATGAGGCTCTAACAGCATCTCAACAAAGCATCCAAATGTCACAACTGAAGTACATTGCACCAGGGCATTTTGTCTAGTTGTACTGACTTAGGAGGGACTTGCCCCCTTAACTTCAGCCATCCAAACATCTCTCATTTCGAGTCCTATTCAGCAAACAAAGAAATATGGATTGACTCATCCTCTGGAGATGCCTATTTCTCTCTAGAAACATAGTCCAGATGCCTAAATTTCAGAGGATAGTTAGCTGATGGTAATCCAGTGTCTATGACCTCTTACTGCCTGCATTTTTTTAAATATTGAGCAAATTTAATTGAAAAATATTTCTAAAGCACTAAGAGAAAATATAACAGTACAGTGTTTATCTAATAACCACTGAATTCTGGACCTGCCGAGTTAATTCTGAGACCGGAACTGCTTGATCTCAGCTATTCAAGAATTACATGGAGGTTTTTATCTGGAGAGATTTTGTCTGTGCTGAGTATAAGGAACAGAGCTACTTTTCTGCTGCAGAAGTTTGAGAAAGGAGAAGTGATTTCATTCAGAGTTCATATTGGCAGGAGCCAGTAACAGATTAATTAAATGGGAAATTGCATGGAATATTGCAGTTTCAAGTTTTGCCAATTACACTTTGCCAGGGATGTCCAAAGTCTGAGCAGGGATACTGGCATTAATATCAGAGCTGTGCTAGCAGTCCAACAGCAGGCACAGTCTGCTCCACAAAGAATTTGCAGTCCAGTTTTGCAAATCACCCCTCAGGCACAAAAGGGAATCTTTAGTGTGATTACCCACAGTGTTCTTCAACAACTAGATATGGTTGTAGCACCAAAATAACTTGGTCTAAACTGTTAGTTACTGGAAATGCATTGTGCAAGGTAATCCTCAGTTTTAAACATTATTCAAGGATAAGCCACATACAATAATCTCAATTAAGTGCAATTGTCAAATTATCTGCTTCACAGTAAGTGCAATGAAAAGCACTTACTTTTGCTTTTGCTTTAGAAAGGTTCCACACAGACTTTAAATATTGTGTGACCAGACAGAAAAAAACATTTTACTTCACAGTAAGTGAACAAGTCTTGTTGCAGGATGACTGAATTTCATCCTAAACTCAAGGAGGTACTTCAATCTGAATATACTCCTCCCCAGAGAAGTATAGGTTTTAAAAGGAAACCTATATACAAATCTATAATATTTTCCATTATTGGACTGGCTGTTTATGTAAGAGAGAAACAGAGAAAAAGCTCAATCTACATTTGAAAGATAGAAACTTGGCTTTTTCTTACTTCTAATTCCTTCCCTCTAATCTTCATAAGCATGCAGTTTGCCTTGGTAAGGAAAGAAACCCGTGTAAGGAAGCTGTATTTCACTTGATTTGCACTAATGGGCATTTCAGTGCAAGTGGCAGACAGCTCAGCAGCTCACTGTGTGCACAGCAGGCCTCGGAGAGGAACATGTCAAACCTCTCCTGCAACACTTCCCTGTGCAACTCTGCTGACCAGCCGAAGGTTAAACAGACACCATCTCTGCCTGCCTGGATGGTCTAATTCAGAAGCTGAAAACAGCTGTGATGAACAGATACCTCATGAGACAAGCTTTTAATCCAAAAAAGCTCATGGCATACATCAAGATGGAGGGAGGCTCCAAAATCCTAAAGGTTTAAGACACATTTTAGGTTTAAGGAATCATATAGATACTAAACCCTTGAGTAGCACATACCATGCTTAGTACCACATACTTAGACCTTCTAAACACCACATACTAACAGCAATATGAAGCTCTTAAAGCCTGCACTGCACATGCTCTGTGTACATATGCCCACTCTGTAACACAAATATATACTAGATCAGAAACCCAGACAAAACCTTCCTTGAATTTACTTTCTAACATCATTTTGGTCAGCTTTAACATTAGATTGCTTTAATGTAACACACAGCCACACTTTGGTACCTGCTGGGTTCTGAAACTGCTAGGAAAATGCTAAGGTGTTCTTAGGCTGAGAGATTTCCCTGGTACAAGTTCTTTGAAGTTAGGCTACCAAAAGTTTTCTGGGTGACTGTTTTGTTGTTAGTGTTGATATATAAAACCCTGGGTACTTCAGCTCAATTTCACTGCAGCTTTCAGAAGGTAAGAAATTTATTAATACTAATAAAGCACAGTTGCCTTCTCCCTCTCCTCACAGTTACCTGCCAAGTATGCTCTAAAGGAATACAAATCTCACACTCACATTATAAATTTCTGTATTTTTGTGTGTTTTCCAATATTTTATGAATAAACTCAGTAATAAATTAGGATTACACTGCATGATAATTACTAGTGGAGGTAATTTTGACCATACTTGATTTACTCATTACCTGCTTTACTTGTGAAAACCTGAAGGTTCAAAGATTTAGATGCAACATCTTGATCTTGACAGTAATCATATCCAAAATTCACAAGTCTATGAGCAAATAAAGATCACTAAGTAAATCACTTCATCCACAGAGATTTATCACAACAAAAAGATCACCAGAACAGTCACTATGTAACAAAAAATATACTAATTAAATTATAATCAAATGTTCTGTAATACAAGTTAAATTGGGCTTTAACCAATTTGCTCAATGCTGTTAGAAACAAGAATCCCAAGACTGCACACTGTTATCCACCAATTTTGAACATACCTGACAACTTCATATTCACTTACTGCACTGTCCAACCATTCCTATACTTTGAAGTGAAAGCAAGTTGTCATAACATACTGGAAATCCAAATACTTGTGACACCTAATAACTCAAAGGTTTTGCAGACTAACTGTACAGCCCATGTCTGTAAAGCCACATTTTCATCTGCAGTAAGGACACTACCTTCAGTGGAAATACTTGAAAAGAAAAGCTCAAAATCACACTCATGTGGAACTTGTTATACCGTGACATTTTCAGTCTCATGCTGCCTGTGTTTTAATGGTTTCACATATTTTTAAAACTACAAGGCCTATTTTCACCCTGCAAAACATGCAGCAGAAGATTGTAGTCAGTCTGCTTTGGGTTTTTTTGTTGCTGGGTGATTTTTTTGTCTGGTTGCATTTTCTTTCAGGAAGTATTTTGATCCTGTAGGGATTTTCCCTTTGGTCTTCTGCAGTAATTTTGAAAACCAATAAAATAAAGTAAAATACAGCATTGAAGCTCTTACAAGAGCTGTGTTCTTTCAGCACCAACTGTAAGAGGACACAACCTGCACATGCAGGAGCACCACACTGAGCCTTGTGCACAGCACTGAGACATTCCGAGACCACAGCTGGGGCAGGGTGGAACTAAACCACCTTCAGCTACTGATACCTGGCCTAACAGCTCTGGCCTTCCTTTTTATTCACAAAAATAAATGGGCCCTTTTGGAATGTAAAGATAGATGAGGATTATGACAGAGTAAAACCATCCTGACTAGTTTTTTTCCCTCAGTTAAGAGGGAGCCCTCAGGAGACAATCTCAGATGCAGTCATGAGCATGGCAGACACAGAAACAGACAAATCTTTTTCTTTGGAAGTGCAGGCTGCTGGAAGGAGCATGCTGGAGAAGAGAGTACAGGCAGTGTCTTCACAGGCCATAAAAAGGTGCTACTGGTTTGCTTAACTGCCCAATAAAACAGCAATTAAAAATGCAGAGCTTCCCTTGACAGATATTTTGACATCACCATTAAATGGGTGACCAAGGTTAAAGCAAATGAATTTAAATAGGTCCAGCATACTCAGAAGGTTTAACCCATAGCTAGCTCTTCAGACAAATAATTTTTTTAAATGGCACTAGGAAGCAGTCAAGGATTAAATCACTTTTTACAGTTGACTCTGATGAGAATAAAAACTGGAGGTCTGGACACAGTTTTCACGTTATTCTCATGTTCCTGTGCCATGTAGGCAACTGCAAACAAACATATTGTGGTTTGGACAAATTTTATTTAGGTTTGTAAAATGTTACCATGTATATTGAAAGGAAAGCAAAGCAGAACATTAAAAAAAACAAACAACTTACTTCAACTGTGTGTCATTTACAGCAATATCCAGGTGTGATTCCAGCTGTTAAACAAAAAGGAAAACAAACCTGTTCTTTACAGAGGTCAATATACTATGTTTAGCATTTCAGACCAGTAAAATGTGTCATAATCACATTTCACCAGATTCAACATTTTAACAAGTTTATTTATCCTCCTCTAATCCTTACAGTCACGTCAAAAACCCCCATAAAACAGATTCTTTTTTAAAGGAGAAAATAAAAGCCACTGGGACAAAGGTCTAGTAACAATCACATGTTGTAATTTTTATGTTCTGTTATTCATATTTTGGCTGCAACAAATGTTCCTGTCTCACTCAAAACTGACACAAAATCACATGGTTTCTTTGTCTATGCACTTGATAAGGCTGCTTTTTCAATAAGTGAGTATAAGTTCAGTATAGTGTCATGAATGTCACTCACTGCCTTCTAGGTGAAAAAAAGTGCAATTCCACTAAAGTACCTTACTGTGGGAAAAATCTGAATCTGACTGAATATATTCTTAACAAGAAAATAATGCAAAAAAAAAACCAAAAAACTCCAGTTTTCCTCTGAAAAAGTTTCATCAATGAAAAAGACAAACAGATCTCTATACCAGTACCTGGAAAACATAATTACATCCCACTGAAAATCATTTATAATAAAATACTCAGAACTTACTATTGAGTTAAAATTTTCCTCAGGATAAAACTGGACACACCTTAAAGTACTCTTTGATTCCTGGAATTAAAAAGGATGTGTTTTGTAAGTAAGAAAGGATATTATACAGACTGAGAAGTGACCATTCTTCACACTCAACCTGCTTTGCTAACAGATATGCAGAAGTTAGGGGACAAAAGAATTTAAAAACCACATATAACCCCTTACAATAGCACTACGACATGCTTCCTTCCTGTCCCAGATCATTATCTGCCAATCATATATAATTGCGTGGGCTCTCACTTAAGCACAGCAATACACGTCTCACACATTTTAGAAGGTTAAAAAAATGTTTTCCATATGTACCTATATGGTAAAAAGAATTGCATCTTACTTTGGTCAGTTCAAAAAAGGTATCTCAGAAACAAAAACATAAATACATTTCTCCATCACAGTTCACTTCCTGTTATTTTCTAACATTCACTCTCTTTGTGGCCAAGAAGAGTAAAGAAAAAAAAAAATCTTTTTTTTATTTACAGAGAATGCATCAAGTGAAAATATCTCTCAGACAAAATAAAAAACCCAAGCCCTGAGAGTTTCAGAGCTTCTTGCCAACAACCTGTCCTCATTTGGTCATTCAGTAAGTCTGCACACAATATACTTTCTAGATGTGAATTCTCTAGAACAGAGGCATTATACTCACAGCAGTTTTGGATAGATTTAGATACTTTTGAATAAAAGACCTTTCTAAAGCAAGAAAAAAAAATTACCAAGCCCACCTTTTTTATAGAAAGCACTAAGACCACCAGTCTTCTTGCTATGTACTAACCACAACAGCAGCTACGGCAAGTTTGGCTTTTGCTTGAAGCTAAGAGAGGCAAGAACAAGAAAGACCATCCTAAGGAAAACAAACCCCTACTTGCTACTCCACACCCTTAAAACTTCACTGTCACTACACAAGCAGGAGCAAAACTTCAAGAATGACTTTCAGCTCACCTTTGGAACAATGTAGAAGAGTCTCTGCTCCATCATATCCCACTGCGCCCAAACGAGGTCATCTACAACTTTGGCTCTTGGAAGCTGACCTGACTTTTGAATCACCTACAGGGAAAGAATAAAAATATTAGAAGCCATCAAATAAGGTTTTGCAACAATTACGCACAGTCTGTGCTTTAAAGAGAAAAGCAGTGAGAGAACACACACAAATAGTAAGGAGCTTGAAAGGAATAGGCTCCTGTCAGCAGCATGAAGTCCACCTTTGTTGTGTGCAAGGTGCTCAGTTTAAAGGGATCAGAAGCACAGTTTTCAGAGTACACCTACTAACAAATCTTTTCTTTCAGTCCTCCTTGCTTGCAAGAAATTCACCACTCAAACTGCTCAAAGTGAACAAAGAATAGCAGAGGGACCCTTCCTCAGAGAGGATGGAAATACCACAGTCAGTTCAGAACCAGCTACATTAACTACTGAAGGGAGACGTGACAGCTCCAAAAAAGATTTCTATCCAAAGCCTCAGCCATGTGAGAGAGAGAGCTGGAGTAGAGAAAAGGCTAGAACTGTGGAAAACTCTTGGGATTGTACACATGCACACTGGCATGATACAGGGAGATTTCATGTCAACCAAAACAATCCTGTTTGTCAGAAGGACATCAGACCAATCTGTTTTGTGATTATACTTAAGTCTTTACTCCACTACTGTAGTCTAGCATATAAAAAATGCATCTGCTTGAAGGGTCATGACAAACTGAGAAAACCACAAAAGATTGAAAGGACAAAAATCAGGTCCTTAACTTTTCCTTCAAAGCCTACATTCACCTCCATAACACAAAACACTGGCTTTCATGACACAGTCATTTACAATATTAGACAAGTGCTCCTTAACAATAAGTCTTTCAAGCAGAATATCCACAGTTTTTTGACAATAAATTCATGTTAAAAACAGAAAAAGAGATGAGGAGAAACAGAGATTGGAACATTCACTGTACTCGGAATGTATCCAAGTTTTACATCTTCTGCTCATTTTTCTTTTTAAGTGAATCCTCTACTGGGTTCACACAGACTCATAATAGACAACTGAAAAGATTTTAAATGGTTGCAAATATTTTAAAGAGTTTTTAAGTCAATAAACACTATTTTTATTCCCAACTTCTGACACACAGAAGCATTCAGCAACACATAACAAACCCAGTAAAATAAAAAAATTTCCTCATAGATTACAAGGTGTAAAGCTTTTCAGTCAGCTTTGTGGTCACCTGCATAAGTTGCCACAGTAATCAATGCTTTCTTTAATAAACTTTGTGTTGCCCAAGTATAAAACTATAAAAAATAATTCAAAACTTTCAGCTAAATTAAAGTAAAAAAAAAAAACTTCAAACCCAAAGATTTTTGAATCTTACCACTTTGTGTTCTTCTTCTGCAACAACATGAATGTCAAATTGTTCAATATCTTTAAAATAAAAATTTTTAAAAAATTATTACAAACAAACATTTTTTAATGCTTTTATACAGCTTATTAAACAAGCTCACCTCTTAGAATTCTTTAAGAACACTTTAGGGCCAGGAAAGTTCAACTCAGTGCAAGAGGAAATCTGTGACACATGAGCACAGGTGCCTACACAGAGACCTGGAGTCTCTTCCTTTCCTGAGCTGAGAGTGGCCTCAGCCATAACACCTCATGGAAAGAGTTCCCTGCCCACATCAGCACAGCTCAGGCTTGAAGAGCGGTGACTGGAATGTCCCCAACCAAGCCAAGGAGCACCCATGGAAAGAAAGAGTCTGCAGAGCTGCATGCCCGTGTCCAACACCATCCCTGACCTGTTCCACTTCCTGTCATGAACACCCCTCACAGTCCTTTCCCACATAAAACTCCTGGAAGTTATCCACAGCTGGCCTGCGTGAGAAACACAATATTCACCCAGCAGATGTTGTGTTTCTGATTTAGCTCTGTCCACCTAAGGCCACCTTCCCAAGGTTGGTGTCTAGCTCAGGGAAGATGGGCCTCTCCAAGGGGATGGAAATAAGAAGGAAAAACCCAATCTTTTCCAAGTGTCCATCTTTATCCATTCCCTGCCATTAGATTAGGCTGAACATGCAATGTTAGCTGAATCCAAGGAACTATTGCTCTATTCTTGTCCCACTTCCCAAGTTAAATGACATATTTCAGTCAATTGATTTGCTCTGGATTTATATAGGCACCTATAAGGAGTCTATTTTAGCTTTTTCAGAAATAAAGATAACTAATGAATGCAAGAGCTAAGCAACTAATTGTAGATAAAGATGGCCATTCTGTTAATATTGAAAAAAAATCTGGTAAAAAATGATACAGTTTTTGAAAGATGATTGGAATAACACACACCCTTCTTTTTCCTGTTTTTTTTTTTCCCAATAAAAGTCTACGAATTGAAAAAAAATCTGGTAAAAAATGATACAGTTTTTGAAAGATCATTGGAATACCTAGAATAACACACACCCTTCTTTTTCCTGGATTTTTTTCCCAATAAAAGTCTACCAAAATACAATCTATAACAATCATCCTGAGGTAAAAGAATGACAATGTACTTTGAAAATATTAACTCACATTTATCTTCTGAAACTAGCAAGAGACGACTTTCTCTAGAAGCATTTCTGCCTTCAACTGGATAAAGAAACTATACAGAAAATTTCACAGAAGTAAGTAAAAAACCAAAGTAGTTTAGAACATTTATGTAAAATGTTTTGGGTTTTTTTTTAGCTGGATATTTATGTATTTTTAAATTCAATCAGATACACTAATGATATTTAACTAATAAAAATAGCTATTATTACATACTAATAGTCATCAGTCACTATAACTGCAAAATTTGTAAGACCAAAGAGAAATAAAAAAGCAGCCTTCATGTTTGAGAAATATTCTATACCAAACATTTTATCAAGTTTCATTTTATGACATTTTTTTATTTCTCTGAAGAAACAGGGGACATTATCTCTGTAACAGTTGCAAGTTAACATGAGATATTTCTGCACTAAACCATGTTTTCTCTCTAGCATAGCAGATTAAAAAGGCTTATCTTCAGATTAGTTGGATACTTTACCTGTACTCGAACACAGCTATCCACAGCCTTTAGGACTCTCACATTATTAATGGGATGAATTTCGATTAGCAAGGTTAAATACTTGGACACTGAAAAAGGAACATGTTTTAGATAATATTCTTTTATGTAAGCAAGTTTGTTTTCTAAACAGAAATACCTGAGAAAGAAAGCAAAAAGGTACAATATTTCAAACAGTATTTAAAAATCCACTTGCAGTACCTGACTGTAAAAGCTGACTTGCTCTTTCTTCCTCTGTATATTGACAGAAGCTGACTGCTGTGGGAGGAGAAAACACCAACACAACCACAGTGAGTGTGCATATTTGACAATCTTATCAAACATCCTTGAAGAATGAGCATCACAACTCTTTTACCAAAGACATGTATGTTAAAGGAACACCAGAAGCTCTTCTAGATGTAGCAGGTATGCACAAATGCAGGAGGAGAAAGTGAACAAAGGGGCAGTGTGTCTTAGATGTTTTAATAAAACAGCAATACTGTCACAGCTGTGTCTTTATGTTGTTACCTACATTAGCTGATAATGGATCCACAGAAATTCATAAACTGCTGTGGGCAATACATGGGTCAAAATACATTAAAGTAATTCTAATCCCAAATGTATCAGCCTGCTAAACTAAATCTTTATAAAAAAAATAAATCTAATGATAAAGCACATATTTACCCAATAAGGTCCTTTCATTGTTGATCGAACAGCTGATTATGTGCAGATTCTTCTCAAACATATAGAGGTGCTACAGAGAAACACAATAATGTTAATAACTGTGCTTTTTCAAACTCCATAAAGGAAACCATATAATTACTTCTTAGGAAAACACCGCTGTTCCACAGTTTTTATCTTTAAGCCATATTTTTCATGCCCAGAAGAACCACATTTCAAGTTTGAATTGTAACAGTTCTCCTTTTTTTTTTTTTTTCTTTTTTTTAGTGGTTCTTTTGAGCTCTATGTTGACACTAGAGCAGTACAGCAGACCTTTATACAAATACAAAATTTCACTCATTTCCTACTATTATGGGGACACCTTCAAAAACTTATCATGATTTTAGTTACTGAATTGCAATGTGTTCAGTTTTAGAATAAAATAATCTCTTAAAATGGTATCACCAAACAGACCAAGAATGCACATATAAAGAAAACTCCAAACATTTACTTCTTGGCACACGTGTGCAATATGAAGAGGAGTGGAAAGGACTTGTTGTTTAAAAGGTTGTTTAGAAATGAAGATTGCAGACATGATGCTTTACTACTCTCAAGCCTTTTGAGATGTTCTGCAATGTGGTGCATTCTTACACTACTGAGAATCATTCCAATACCTTCTCCAGTGTCTTTTCTGTTTCCAACAAGGATACACTCCTTCAGGACATAACATACTATGTTGCAAAGCATCAAAATCTGAAACATTACAGATTGTCGTCACAAGAGAGAAACCTGGTATTGTTCTCACCTCGTTTTGTTTTGTTTGAAGATCATACAATCCAATGTGAGTGTTTCTCTGATTTCCCTATAGTTGGAAACAAATTAGCACTAGCAATATAAATATACACAAAGTATATAAATATACACAAAGTTAAACACTTTTTTTCCCCACCTCCCTGTTCTCCCTGCCCCTTGACACACATCCTCACACACTTCCCTGTCCTATATATAAACAGGCAGTTAATTATCTAATTCCAAGAAAGCAAATTCTAATTCCAAGAGAACAAAGATTTATTTTTTCCTTTTAGAGCTAACACATGGAATAAAGCTGAAATGTGGCCAATCCACAGCCCACAAGCCATTGCATAAACCTAATGCCTCTCTCTCACTTTGCTTCTAAACTGGTTTTAGTTACAGGCAATAGGGCCAGGAAGAGAGATGTCTGAACAAGAATCAGTAGGGATCCTCTGGCCCTTGGAGATTTAAGGCTGGAATTCCAAACCTCTCCAATGTGGTGGGTCAAAAGGGAGCACAGAACCACCGAACATCACCAAAAATCAGCTCCCACTGATCTGGCTGCAGCCTGGAAAAAGGATTTCATTAGGAAGTGATTGTTTGAAGGGTAAGTATTTTATAAGCTCACCATTAGCCTTCTGCCTTTGAAGAGTAACATAATATATATAGTTTCTAGCTTATTGATAAATAATATACGATGATTTTGTTTGAGGCACTTACAAATGTTTGGGACTACAAACCAAAACTTTACTACTTCTTAATTTTTAGCATACATTAAATTTTCCAAATATATATTTTTTAAAATACTGCTTTTCAGTATGTACTGGATAGCAAATCAAGCTGATGTGTATTAATGTACTCTGGGTATAGGCACTAAATTGCTAAACTACTGAAATTAAATCCAGACACAAAGGCTTCTACTTCCACAGTGAGCTTCATTGTTTTTAACAATTGCTTAGGGGGAAAGGGGAGAGATCTGTGGTTATTTACAAATTTATGGCATCTTGCTTTGTGAAGTTGAAACAAAAGCCTGAGTATTTGCTTCCTAAGGGGTCTATTTCTGAGTGTGTCATTATTGTTGTGGCAATGACAAAAGTCTTTGACTTCTGATTTAAAAAATGAAAACAAAATGTCTTTATATTAAGACACAGGCTCTAGGTCCCCTAATTTAGGATTAAGCAAGTGCTTTCACAAACAACTTTTTTTCAAGTGTGAAATATTAACACCATCTTACTTAGATACTGAAAAATACACTTCACAAGACTGGTAACAGAACTACATCAATGCCCATGACTATGCATAAACTAGGACACTTGTTTCCATGTGCACTCTGAAGATTCTTGCATTACCTTGCAAATAGAATTCACTTCTGTTAGAACTATCTTCCTTTACATTAACTATTAATGTCACAGAATATGGACACCGTCAAAACCACAGTACAACACAATACTCTACAATAAGCTTGAAAATAAAACTCAGTGTCCACCTTCCCCTGGTTTCACACAGAATACACTTCACTGTCACTCACTTAAAAGACAAAGGTTGTTTTCTATTTGTATCCATTAGGAAACAAGCCAGGCCAGCTCAGCCTAGTTTACATCCTCCACACCACACACCTCCCAAAGCACAGGCTACAAGTGGCCAGTTCTCTGAGCTCCACCAACTGCTTTGACCAGATCCCTACAGACTACAGTGAGAGCCTAAACACCCAGCATGCAGGCAGACACCTCCATTTAGACATGTGAACCTTGAGCTACAACTTATCCCCTGTGCCAGCTGCAAGAGCCTGAAGAGCACACAAGGCAGTTAGGCTGTCAGAGGCCCAAAAAAGCTTAGTGTGAGATTCCGCAGGTGCTAGAAAGCAGCAACACCACACACACACACAGACTACCAGATCTCCTGCAGAGCTCCATGGTTTTACTTGTATTAAGGCTTCTAGAGTATTGAGCAATGAAAAAAACCCCAAAATTTGACACACTCTTTAGAATTGTTTTTATGGTTATTGTTGTCTTGTACAAACTCCCCTCCCTATGCTTGTACTAAAGGAAACATCCACCCACAGTGAAAGTTAAAGCCTGGATGAAGGCCTCACCTCTTCCCTTAACCCTAGGGAAGCTGGAGAGTTTTAGCATTGTTGAACCAGAGAGGAACGAAAGGCACCCCTACTCTACTGGAGTTCATCTCATATCTCTACTCCTCAAGAACCAAGATCCTCCAGGATCCAGCTGGATCTACAGACTTCTCTGAGCTGCACAGCTTGTCTCATCAAAGGAACAATGAGAAGAAGACAAAGTCTCACTTTCTAAAACCATTAGAAAACCCACTTGGAAGTAAAAATAAAACATGTACCATGGAGAGCAGAATCCTATGTTAAGAAGCCAGTTCTAGATACTTCAAGACATCAAATAAACAGGGGTTACTTCAGACTACTTGCAATAAAGTGTTATAGATGAATCTTAAAGAAAGGTATATGCAGAAACAGTGCTAGATAAATGGTGTCTTAAGACATTTTAGCAGGAGAAAACATTTAACTAAAGCACTGCACATGAATTTAATAGCTAGGCTTCACTAAGAAATTGAGGGTGAAATTATGTGTTTATGAAGTGTTTTAAAGAAATTGCATTTCATTCATGGGGAGATTCTGGTCCAGCAAAAAATCATGGGCAAAAGCCCTGTAGACTTAATCAGGTGAGTACTTTACTCTCTGTTTCATCATTCTTAACCTTTGACTGAAGTGGAGATGGGTATTTTCCCACTGTCCAACCCCCCAGGTTGTAATCAGTTGTGTTTCCGTGTTCTAACACTTACTTAAAAAAAAATTAAACAACAAGAAACTCAATTAGATTCACATATACTATTATTCTCAACTACATTTTTATCACATTCCAAGGTGGACTTACCTTCCAGGTATAAATAATTTTTCCATTTCTTTCAACATTTACAACGTACAGTGCTGATGAATTCTCAGAAGTGTCTGAAATAAGAAGTACAAAAAGACACAGGATTTTCATTTTAGCTGGTTCATCCTATAATTTATGCACACTTTAAGCAAATATGCTAAATACATTTTTACTTGTAAATACTTATTTGCATATGCCAAAATTACTCCTTTCTGGAAAAAGAGGGAGTACTTCTTACACCATGCTTTAAATCTGATAAACTTCAACACAGACAGTCAAGAAACTTCAAAACATGCAAGAAAACAATTATTTTTGTAAACACCTACCTCTTTATTATAATTATGATTCTAATACCACTACCTTTTGTTATGCAAACAGAATGTGCTTTTTCAAAGAGTAAAAAAAGCAAACCAAACCAAAATTACCCCCTTGCATTTATTCTCTATACATAACATGAGGTTCAGACAGTTAAGCCACACTCCAGTCCTCTGGACACTACAGGAAGAGAGAACTAGCCTGAGGAAAATATAATTTTTTAACAGCTACCCCTTCAGCCTCTCAAAGGAAAGCCTGAAAATAAATTACATCTTTAGACATTAGTTCTATAACACCAACACCACCACTCCCGTGTCATTCTTAGCTCATCCTCCACCTCCAAAAAGAAATAAATAAAGAAAAAAACCCACCAAAATCCAAAGAACCACCCGAATTAAATACCATACAGAGAGATATACAACCTACCTACAAGTACAGGGAACTAAACAATGCAGGGCACAAAATTATATGGGATGTGAATTATAGAGTACTGTTAAAATAGAAACAAACAAGCAGGAAGCTAAGACGGACACAGAAAGAGAAGAGCATATCTGGCAAAGCAGTACAAATTAAAAAGAAAACCAATAAAAAAAAAGAAAGATAAAATATTGTACTCAAGGTAAGAAAAATGCATGCTTTCCTGATGCTACCTTTATGTTTTCTCATCACTGCAGCCATCAAAAATGTGTTTATCTGTGATGGAATTTTTACTAGATGTGGAAATTTTGCCCTTAGCAAGGTTCAAGCTGTATGATTGGTCTCAATTTTCTAATAAAGGTGGCCTGCAGTTCAGTAAGCATCAACATAAAGAACTCTCCTCAACCCTCTGCAAGCATTTAGTCAAGTCCGACCCTATTTACTTGGCAGTTACCATGAAGTGTTGATAGAAGGAAGACACTTAGTGAAACTTAGTTTAACAAGCCTGATACTGTAAACTGGCTTGTACAGTCTGCAGTGATAATTTAAAAAAAAAAAACTGTTTTCAAGTATTATCAGAACAAAGTAAATTTTCCATTTTGTTGTGGGAGGACAATGAAAACCCTTTCTGTACATTAAGCAACACATCACTTTCTATTGGTTTCAGGTCAAAGTACACTATAAAACCACTACATTAGGGCTAGATGGTGACAGCTGGGAGGGTCTAAGATAACAATATACTCTTTTTTTTTTATCTGAAGCTTCCTGGAACTTAACAACCACCTCAAACTTTCAAGATGAGTACTACGGTCTCCACATTTTCTCATGCAATTCTTCCTCAGTACAGAATTTTGGTAGAGAATCTCCATGTCATTCTCTAGAGAACAGTGAGTGGGAATATGGAGGCAAAGAAGTGGCAATGGTCTCTGCCCTTGGAAATTCCTGCAGTAAAATCCTACACATAGAATTAGAACTTCTTCCTCATGCCCACAGCTGAGACCAGCAGATGAAGGGCTGCAAAAGAACCAACCCAGCCTGCGTGCCCAGCACAGAGCTTTTACCAACATAATCAGGAGAATGCAGAGTTTGATTTCCTGAAGACCATTATATGCAGCTCATACCAAATTAAGTGGAATAAAGAGAACAAGGCTGGTTCACTTTGCCTGCCGCTCCCTTCCTATAATCACAGCTACTCCCAGCTCTCACGCTATTAGCAGTTCTCACATGCTATCAAGTGCTTTCAAGTCCTTAGGAAAGAAAATAATAAATATGAATGAGTAACATCTGAAAATACTGACACAAAGTACCATGACTTCTAAAAATTATTTGCTTTCTGTGATTAGATATTTCTTTGATGTTTAAATTAATCTTTTCAAAACCCTACCTCCCACCTTCACATTCCTAATATGACAGAATTGCATGAGGGGGAAGAAGTAACTACACACAGATAAGTTAAAACACAATACAGCAGCGCTGGTATTTGATCAGATGCACCCTCCAAACTAGATTCTTATGTTTCTGTATTACCAGGGATATTACTGAATGAAGAATCCATTACATTTCAAAAGACTTAATACAAATTTCTCCTTCCCAAACACAAGTCAGTGCCATTTTGAGATCGTTTTGCCATTAACAAGTTCACTGATGAACTGAAAAATCCATAGATTAATCAATTGTACGTGGAGAATTTCAGAATTTTACCTCAGATCCCTTCAGGATACCTTTCAATAATTGTTCAGTAAACATAGAAAATGTGAAGTATTTTTTCAGATTTTTTAAATGATGGCTTGCTAAACAATTCTCTTATTCTCCAAGCTGATACTTTCTGGTTTGTCACCAAACAAAAACTTCTGAGCCTATTTGATAACAGCCCCTCCATGCAGGAAGCAAGTTATAGTACTAAAAGCAACTGAAGGCGTTTCAAGTTCATCACACTTGCATATTGATGGTATTTCTACTGAAGCAATAACTTTTACTCTATTACAATTTTATTAGAATAAGGTTTTCATCAGTTTCTGAAAAGCAGAACTGAGCCAGCTGCTCTGCAGATGAATAACAAGCAAAAAGCCACAGTGCCAAGAATACGGGAGGTCACTTTTTTCCAACCACTACCGCGGGCGCTCGCTGTGCCGGCGATCGCACGGTGCTGTGACAGCTGACGCTGCATCTAATTTTAAACCAGCACGCGTTTACCAGGCACACCGAAGTGCTCAGCCTGTGGGGATTTTCCTCCCAGAAAGGGGAGTAGCGTGGGAGAGAGCGTAATGCTAACACTGTTTATTTCTTTTTTTCCTTTCTTTTTCTGGCGGGGAGAGAGGAGAGGAGAAGAAAAAGAGAAAGCCCCAAACGTGTTTAGAAGAAGGAAGAAGAAACAAGCTGTGGAGTGCAGCAGATGTGTAGAAGTGTTTTCGGCTTGTCAGAAATTCCTTGAGGCCAGCAAACTTGGCCGCCTCAAATCCCCCGGCACCCGAGGGTCGCTCCCCTCGAGCCCCGGCCAGGGGGGCCCAGAGGCCGCTCCCCGGCCGCCATCCCCGGGCCCCCGCGGCCGGAGCTCCCGCTGCGGGCCTGCCCGGGGGTCTCTCGGGGACCCTCACCCGGGGGCCTCGGCGCAGCCCGGCCTCCGCGGCAGCGAGGGCACGGAGGCGGTCGGAGAGAGGGAGGGACGGCCGGCCGGAGGGATGGGGCTCTCCTCGGCCTCCCGGAGCGTTACCTAGAGCCGCGGCGCAGCCCCGCTCCGCCAGCCAGGGCAGCACGTCCCTCCGCAGCTCGAACTCGGGCACCAGGCGCAGCAGCATAGCCCCGGCCCGGCCCGCCGCCGCTCCGGCTCAGCTGCCCTCAGCCCGCCCCCTGCGGGGGGGGGGCACGGCTCTCGGGGGTTCCGGCGTTTCCCGGCCCGCTCCCGGCGCCGCCGGCCCTTCCGCTTCCTAGCGGGCACGGCCGCGGCGGCACAGCGCCTCCGAGCCTCCCGCGGCGGGCGGCCTCCGCGCCGCGGGCCCGCCGGACTCGAGGGCTCTCGTTTTCCCCGTGGCGTGGGCGCACAGGCTCCTCCTCAGGCCGGCTGGAAGAATCGCAGAATCACAAAATATTCTGTGTTGGAAGGGACTCACAAACATCATCAAAGTCTAGCTCCTGGCCCTGAGCAGGTCAGCCTCAAAAATCACACCATGTGCCTGAGAGCATTGTCCAGAAGCTTCTTGGTGCTGTGACCACTTCCCTGGAGAGCCTGTTCCACTGTCTCTCCATCTTCTGGGTGAAGAACCTTTTTCTAATATCCTACCTACACTTCCTCTTGCACAGCTGGAAGCCATTCGCTCCTGTCACTGATCCCCAGAGAGAAGAAGGGGCAATCCTTTAGGAAGCTTCACTATGTAGTGAGTCCAGGTGCCTCAGACAGCAGCCTGTCAGTGAGGGCTGGAGTTGAGCTTCAGTCACTTGGTGTTCTGAGGAACCAGGAGGCCCTGTGTTGAGTTGCCGTGCTCATGATCCCCCCAGGAAGCATTAGATGTTTTCCAGAACTTCAAGTAGCATCCCTGTTTTCTGAGACTGTTCACTCTGAAATTGCTTGTTGAATAGATGGAGTCTCTGTAAACTGCTGGCAAAGCTTGGGATATCTTCTCAGACTAGGCCTGGCCTGTTTGTGCTTTTCATCTGCAAAGGAGGTAAAACTTAATGTAATCTTAGGGGAGGTTGTGGTTTGTTTGCTTGGGGTTATTTTAGCTGTTGAAAAATATTTGTAGCACTGATAAGGTGCTGCTGCATGGCTATCTTTAGCCTGCCTAATTACCATTTCCCTTCTGAAATGTGCTGGCTGATATCAGCCAGCTAAAGGTGGCATAGAAGTGGAGGGCGGCTGTGAGGACACACACCAAGCTCAACATACAGAACAGCTTGAACCTGTTCTAAGAGCTAATCCCTGTACCAAGTTTTTCCCCATCACTGCTGAGAGCTGGAACTCTAAAAAGGCCAGATCAGAATCAGCTATATCTGCAAAGTGTAGATGAAAGGCAGGTTGATAATCAAAATGCAAAGCAAACATGTTCTACTTCTCAATCTCCATATTGCCAACTTTTACAATTTTACCACAAGTTTTGTGTTCAGCATTTTTCTTAAAGCACCTTAGATCAAGTGGTTGTGCAAGAATTTCAGCTTATATTTTCACTGTTATGAAATAAAGCTTGAAAATGTGGCTGGAGTATTTATTTCAGACACGAAAGTAGAAAACAGACAAGAGGTCCTGAATGGATACATTTTTTGAGATAAAAGATGGGGCTACTTCATGACTATGAGAATGACACAACTGGAAATTACACAGCTGGAGAGGCAAGCAATGGAGGGCAACAAAGCCAAAGAAATGACTGATTCTGCAAGTATGTGCAAAAGGGGAGATTTTCAAATGGAGAGTCTCCTGTACCCAGATCTAGAGTTCATGTTTATTATGTAAACTCTGCATTCCTTGAACCTTCAGTCTGGCTATGCACATCAGAGGCCATATCTACAGGCCCAGAGCTCGGAGTTGACTTCCTAGAAGCACAACACATTCCTCAGAAAGCACAAAGCTGACTCATTCAAAGTTCTTCAAGTAACAACTCAGTATAGAATATTAGGCCACCTTAACCTGATGCATAAAATTAAACAGTTGATGAAAAAGACATAGGCATCTAAAAAAAACCCTTCAGCAGTATTTGAATTAAGACAGAGCCTGATATATTTTGATATAGTTTTGCAAGATGGAGAAAGAAGCTCTTGGGTTAAAGAAACAACCCATTTTCTTATCTCTGTCAGATTAAATTAATGTTATAACCCATTTGTCACTTTTTCCTTGCATCAGAAAACCAAATTGTGAATTTTGCTTTCAATTTATACTCAGTTTCCTTTTCTGATTATCTGATTCACTTAATTTTGGTTTTTAGTTCCAGTCTGAAGCTATGCAGGCACAGGAGCTGATCCCAGTGGAGCAACTTCCAGGAGTGGGATGTGAAACTAAAGCTCCCATTAAAAAAGAGACAAATTAAATTTCTCTCTTTCTTTTTGATTCAGAAATCTGTTCCTACCTTAGTAACAGGAGGATCTCCCTTGAATTTTTATCTGGATATTGAGTCTTAACCACAGGGAAATCATTAGAGAGCAATAATGGCCCTACTGATTGTATTGTAGCCATCATCATCATTATTTTACTGCTAATAACAATTTTTGTGCTAACTTCCTGTGTCCCTATAATCCCTTTTTACACAGTTCATATGACAAGAATTAGAAAATTTTACCATGACACAAGTGTGGGTCTGTGGCATTGCAGCCTGACATGGCAGGGATGGGTGTAAGGCACCTTTCAGCTCTCAACAGAACAAAGCTTTGTTCATGGACAAAAACACAGATCCATAAACCATCGATGTGTTCCACTTTGGGAAATTATACATAGGACTTCTTATGAAGAATGAATATCTGAAATAATTATTTGAGCACATGACAGCCTGGCAAACAGTTCGTGCCTTTTTTGGGAAGTACTGCTTACTGAGGGCAGCCTCTTTTCCCGCCGTTCCAGTAATAGAGGGTTTATTGTCATCATGTCTAGACAGTTGTTTCCTTGAATGTTTTCATCCAGTCAAACACAAAAAATATACATAATTTTTCTTTCTGAAGTCGGTGCTTAATATGTTTACTAAATCCTCTTGGCACAATAAGATGCAATTTGAAATCAATATTTTAGTAGTGAAGTGTGCGATTCAGAGTTAGTAGAATAAAATACCTTTATTTCAGTGTGTGAGATTACCTCTTTTTTAGTCTCTTTAATCACTGAATATCAACATAGATCTGAGTTATTTCACTGAAATCAGTCAGCATCTGTTGTGGAAGCCAATGCTTCATGGACGTGCTTTTGTATGCTTTGTTTAATAATTCATCATAGGAAATAGTCTTTCAACTGCTAATGAAAAAATCGTCTTGCTATTCATGCTCGTGTTGAACAGCACTTTTTTTTTTTTTAATGGCTTCATTGAAGTCAGTAACATGCTCAAGCCAGTAACATGAGTGAACGAGGCTCCTGAAACAGTTAAGGTATTCCTCAAAGTGAGGGAGGGGAAGAGAATGGGACTTAGGGAAGTCTCTGACTGTCATCCAAGTGGCATTTTTGTTTCCGCTGCTTCTCCCTCCATGGCCCAGGCTCTGAGGCTCCTTTGTTCTTTCCAGAGACTAACCCCTGCTAGTGCTGATGAAAGCCCTGTGAGCACACACTGTCTCAACAGCTGTTGGAGGAGCTCTTGGCTCTATGTTTATTCTTCAGCTCCAGCCTGATTGGGATTCATCAGTAAGGTTTAGAAACTTGGTGTTTTTTCCTTTGTGATGTTTCAGTTTTGACTGCATTTTGAATTGCAAGAGGACAGTGTCAATACTTTGCAACAGAGTTGCAATTCTCTTGGGAATTGTTATAATAATGCATATATCAGCAGATCAGTTCGAATTTCTTACACTTTTTAGATGTCTTTCCATTACCATTTTTATTGTAAAATGAAAGAAATATTTAGCACAAATACATTCCTTCAAAATGTAAGGTTGCAGCACTGTAGAATGGAGACTATAGACAGGGATAGCACGGGATGAACACATATGTCTGACTTTTGTCTCACTGAGCTTCAGGCACTTTGAAATAGGGTTCTAATGTGAAGTTTTTTGTTTAGGGTCCTTCTAGTTAATGAGGAAATATAAGAACTCCAGAGAGTACTTGATACCACCTGGTTTTAGCAGTTAATTTAAGATGCATTTTACCTCATTGTGGATGCTTGTTCTCCTGTCCCCTCAGTTCTGCTCTCCTGCCTATTGGGAATGTGCAGCTGAAGGCCTGGAGAAAGTGGCACTGTCCCTTCCCATGTCTGCCTCCAATTAGATCATATCCAATGTAGTATGGAAGGGGGCCCTGAGGGTGCAGTTTGATGGGCAGCTGATCTAACAGCTCATGACTGTTGAAAAGATGGACCCAGACATTATCCCCTTCTTGTTTTCTTCTCCCTTCCTCATCCCCAGGTCACTCAGCCTCTTTCTTGGTTTGCCAGCTCTCCTGTCCATCTAACACCTCTGTGATCCAGCTGTATTGGCTAACACACTAAAGTCTATTTACTTTTTTTTTAATGGTTTAATTTTCTACCAGCTTATGAAGGTGTCTCCAGTCACAGAAGGCCTTTACAAGCCCACAGCCATTGCAAAGGGAAGCAGTGGTTGTGTGGCCCTGGCAGCAGGGAGGGGAATGGAATAGATCTCCCTGTACTGGTGGCAGTGAAGTGTTAGACTCACATGGTTCATTCAGACCCTTTGCAAAATGCCTTCCTCTGACATTCAAGTTGAAAGAAGCAGTCATTTTTGCCCAGCATTGCTCTGGTCCACTGCCCAGCCACTGCTGGCATAGTTTCCAGACCAGAGAACTGATCCAACTGAAAAGTAGCCTTGGGGGAAGAAAGAAGGAGGTGGAAGAGGATGGTTTCAGAAATGTCAGCTATCTATCAAGGTTACTGAAACCTTATGTCAACAAAAATTACAGAACTGGGAATAAACCACTCATTCTGGGCGAAAGACCTTGGGGATACTGCTTTTCCTGATGTTGGTGCTCACTTAGATCAGTGTAAGTTTCTGCCAAACTGCAGCCTTAGGATGTGGTTAATGGTAGTAGAGGCACCTGCTTCCCTTGACTTACAGTAACAGGAGTCTAGGTATGAGCTTTTAGCTGATTGAAGTCAGGTGAGTAAAACCTACTTTTAGCCTCCTTGGCCTGCTTTTCTGTTTCCATCAGGATCAGTAGAAACCACTGCTTTTTAATACCTTATTTGTATACTCTAACAACCATTTCTTTGATACTGTGCAACACTTTTAATGTACTCAAATTATTCTCTAGAAATCTGAATACATTTCCCTGGCACATCCTAAAAATATCTTTTATTTATTATATGTTGGTTCCAAACAAATGTCACATTAATAAGCAGAGAGGCCTGGGTATGTGTACGTCATCAGTCACGCAGTAGTTTCTTCTTTCAAAATACTTCCAGAATTAGGTCTGACCTCTTTTAACAATGAACTATTTATAGGATTCATAAGGGCCTTATCCTCCAACCCTGACTCAGCCAAAACTCACCACTGACCTTGACCTCCTGTAGTCTATTCTTGTAGCCTTACTCATGTGAGGAGCTTTTATTCACTGACCTGACTTGGGGAGCATATTCCCATGAGTATGATTTTGCAGGCTTGGTTCCCAGCTCAGTGGGACATGGTAAAATGCCACAGAATCAATTCCTGATATGCATGTTATTTTTACAATGTTATAAGTACAAAAATAAGGGAAATATGCAGTTAAGTTCTGCATTCAGTACTGCAGCTGAGTGTTATTACATTATATGTGTACAGCTACAAATGAAAGCATTAAATTCTCATTTTCAAAGACAGTACATGTATTTTTAGAAGAAAACAGTCACTAGATATCTCAATCATAAGAATTATTACTAAAAGTACTTGATTTTTTTCTAAGGAAGATACAACTGTTTTTATGTAGATTATTGTAGTGTTAGGTGATTACACTAGCACAGTATGACAATGACAATCTTATTCTGTATTTTTTGTGTCTTTTTCTAAAAACCCTTCTAACTAGTGTTGATTTTTTTATAGCCCAGTCTGTCATGGGTTCTAACCAAAAGGCACCTTTTGCTTTCTTCTTCCTCTTTCTCCCATTTTGGGCCATTGACTCCTCATTCCACTGTAAATTACATCAGTCCAAAACTGAGCAATGCTGCAACTGGGCTTGATTCCACCTCTTCCCACAGCACTGTTAATTGTTCTTATCACAGCAGGAGTACAGAAACCAAAAATTTACTTAAAATTGCATATGGATGCATTGTTGTACCTTCAGAAATGGTCAGTTCCAAATGCTTCTGAGAAAGGTGCAAGCAGCCCTGTGGTTGTCAAATAATGATACTGTGCACCTGTCTTCAATGGTAGGTTTCATTCTGATCTCTGATAGAGACTGATTTATCCTCAAAGTGTAACATTTAATATTCCAGGGTATTCAGATTAATTAAAACTGT